AGGCTCCCAAACAGCCACGTCGCTGTCTATTAGTTGCTGTTTCTCCTGCTGCCCCACTCTCCCTCCAGCTGTTCCCTGCGGGTTCAGACGTCGCCATCAACAGGAGCATCTATTTCCCAGTCTCAATCTTGGCCAACTGCAGCTCCAGGATTTTTTGCTGCAGCACGTTTACCTAGCTCTTTTTCTCGATTTTTACTCGCTTACAAATTGTGTGCCCGCTTTCGGGGAGGAGGAGGTCGGGTCAGGAGGAGAGAAGAGCCACTGGGAGGGTGGGTGAGTTTTTACTAACGACAGTTTATAAAATATTCAGTCCGCTTGCCAGGGTGTACTGCTGGCTACTGGCTGCTGGTGTTGCTGGGTTGCTAGGTTGCAGTGGAGTTCCTGCTGTCTTGGCAGCTAAAAGTTTTTAATGAATTTTTTAGCAAGCTAATCGAAGTCAATGTTAGTTGAAAAATGCATTAAATAAGGTGGCACGTTTGTTCAACGCGTCGTATGCGCAATGTAGCTGGCCACTCGCCATTCGGCACTCTGCCTTTAGAGCTGAGATATGTTGACATCATGCATGGAGTATAAGTTACATAACCAAGAAGAAAGGCTTTCTTTATTTTCGGGAAATGTCTGAGCTGCCACTCCTGACTTTTAAATGTCAGCTCGCAGAAGGGGGCGGCGAAAAGCTAACCAGCCATGTTGGGTTTTTTCCACGTCGTCCTTTGCTCCAACTTGCTTATCAAATTTGCAAGGCAAATGCGAAATTTTCTGCTTGGTGGATATGTGAAAAGGCCTGAAGTAAGAGATTGTGGGCAGAGCTAACCAAACCAGAAGAAAAATTTTCCATTGTAAGTGCAACTCGAGTGCAGAGGGTCCGCTTTTGATCCTAAATAGATTCCTGCGTAGGGACTTGAACTTCCAAGAAGGTCTGCAGGGCCAAAGGTAACCCTTTTTGGAAACCAAAATTACTTGAAAAAGCAGCGGTGGCTACATCTGTAATTAAGTTTACCCGCTTTGGCAACCAAAGCTCGTGGCATTACTAAAATATTTATCCAATTAATTCTAGCATGGTTGCCAAGCAATTTATTGCAACATTTTCATTACGCTTCTTCGCATATTTTCGCTGCTCGTAGTACGCTGTTTGCTTTGGCTCATCGCATCTCCTATATCTCATTTTGCTTGCTTATCCTGGCACGATTCCTGGCTCTCCAGCTGCTGTCTGCACCTTCGCACCTTGATGCCCCTCGGCTGTTATTTCAGTTGCAGTTTTTCCCGATCCCTTTCCCGCTCCACGCTCCACGCTCCACGCTCTTTGATTGCGCGCTTTTCCTGCAGCCTCCCTCCTAAGTAAGCGCCGCAATTATAGACTCTGACAGGGACTCTGATAGACAGCCAGACAGATTTTAAGACCGGGAAATGCAAGCATTTTTCTGCTACTTGGGGCGAGGCAAGGACACGAAAAGTGAGTGGAGAGTAGGAGCTCGAAGGATCCCGAAGCCAACTGCGTCTTGTGCCCTGCAATCGAGCCAAGAGTAAACAGTTTCCTCGTTGTATTCGGCTTTTGATTGGTAATCACGAGCAAGATCCCTGCGGGTATCAGGCCAAGTAAAGCTTGGCATTTAGAATCTTTAAAAGTTCTTATTGCGCACTCTCAGCAATTTGGTTTTTTTAAAGACATTTCCATACATCAGGAGCCATTTTTTATGCCCATTGTTTTCCTTTTCAATTTGCAAATAACAACTTCAGTGTCAGCACAAAGTGGCATGGCATTTTGCAGAAATTATTAGCCAAAATAATGAGGCTCCACGCCCAAATCCAAGCGGCATGTCCACACTTCATTTCCCAGGGCAAGTCCTTCCCAGCCCCATCCCCCATTGGCGCACCCCTCCCCTGGCGGCGAAAACCAGCAATGACCTAATAAATCCGTTTTATGTCTTGGTCCTGGCGCCGCCTACATTCAACTCCAATCGCTTGGACGGAAACGCCAGCGGCGTCTGTTTGTGGTAAGCCCCTCAGACACATCCTCCCATCCCAGCTTCCCCCGTCCGAAGTCAGGACACAGCGGAAAACTTTTGTGTGGGGAACTGGAATGAATAACTTAAAGGACCCTGCTTCCAGGCTTATCAGTAAGGCAATCGAATCACTTTGAAATACTTCCCCAATTTCTCCAAGTGCAGCCTGTGCCCTTTTCAATTCATATTCAAATTCAAATTGTAGGCGTGGCCGCGCCATTTATTGTCTGCGCCATTAGCTGCACTAATGATCCATTCAGCAGGAGCCAAGTCGGAGGGATGCGAAAAAATCGTAAGGAAGGAAAGGCCCAAGGCGGTCATATTTAAATAAGAGTCGGGATGCAGGCTCCCGCCCGAGCACAAACACAAACACCCCCCAACCAGTTCCCAATCCCCAGAACCAACCCAGACAGACACATCGGCATTGTCAATATGCTTAATGGATTTTCAAATATTTAAACAACCTCGAGAGCCCAAGACGATGGCGGTTTTCCGCACATCCCTTCCGCATCCCACGCCAGGATAGCCCTGAAAATGCATTTGCAAACACTTACGCACTTTGCAAACACACGCATATACATATATCAAATGTTATGGTCCGGGCTAATGGAATTACAAATTGGAATTTCTTCTGTTTGCCCTGCATAAGCGATAATTGATAATTGATAATGGATAACTGATAACTGGGTCAGTACTATCCCGCAGATAAAAGGGAAACACTCCGCTGCTAAGTAATTAAAGCGGCAATTCTTACAGCTCTTTATTGTGGACCCTCGCACTTAATCGCATCACTCGGGCTCCTGCATTCCGAGGCATGTTTCCATGTTCCGGCTGGTGCCTGGTGGTTATGCATTTTATTTTATTTCAATTTAAACTTTTAATGAGTTTCTGCCAGTGCCCTAATGCCGCACATGCAGTTGTACATGGCCACGGGTGGGTGGGGATTTATTCCGCCGAGATCCGAGATCCGAGTGTATTTTATTTACCCTTGTCCTTCCCGTTTTTTCACTGATTTTGTGCGAGATTTGGGCAAAATTTTAAATTAATTTGAAAACAAATTCAATTTAAATGCGGCTTTGTCGTTGTTGCCCCTGCTTTGGCTTAAACTAATTGCCTCTCCAGTTGTATAACCAATTTTCGGTGCAGAGTGCATGAAATTTTTATGGCCGTTCTCGGGCCCCAAAATCAGAAATTGCATATTCAATTATGGAGATGGCGGTCGTGCCCGGTGGGCCAGTCTATTCCGCGTTATTTAATGCATAAAATCAATTGATACAAAATTAACGATTGCTTTCTGTGAGAGGGGATTCTTTTTTTTCGCACGTCAAAATGTCAGCTATTGGGCATTGTTCGAATGGCAGAATGTCCTTTTACACGACTTCGGCCTCTGGCTGAAACAGTTACAATGAATCCTCGGTTTTCCCCTAAAATTATTAAATATAAGGCCTGCCAGAACCTATTGTTGGAACGATATTTGCCAACTTTATTTCAATTGCGACAAATGGATCTGGGAATGTCGAACCAAAAACCGAATTTTCCCAATTAAAACTGCAATTAAATGCTTCTGGGCAACACACAAACAGAGCTCGGACTGGCCAGAAACTGAGCATATTTCAATTGAATTTATTATAATTATTTGTATTTTATGGCGACAAAGTGATTGGGTCCTTGAACCGTGTGTGTGATGTTTTTAATGCGAATCAGCGGCATAAATATCAATAAATTTTGGCTCCTATACTTCGACATGGATAAATATTGCCTCGCAAATTATTTGCTGCCGCTTCCCGGACTAAGTAATTAATCACCAAATAATTTGGTAATTTTAATATACTGCCGCCCCGCCCCCCAGTCCGTCCTAAACAGTTCAATGAGCACACACAGACAAGTGCATAAACCAATTTGTGCCTATGCACCGTTAATTAAGATTTAATGCCCTGCTAGTATTCGATCGGCCCGCTCCGTCCCGCCCCGCCCTCGGCCTTTATTATTTGCCATTTTGTGTACGTAATTAAGCGACAATAAGTATTTAATACACATTTTCCCCTCGCACACACACACACTGTTGCAATTAGTTTGGCGCTCGTCCTTAATGCCACGCCCATTAAGTACACACCCCGCCCATGCAAACACACCGACACACCGACAGACAGACGGCAAACAGGAGCAACAACAAATTGTTGGCTAATTTGAGAAGCTCCGAACTGCCGCCGCCTCCAATTGACATGGACTGTTACATAACACACACACACATATGTACCCCAGGATATGTGCATGTGCGGGCTTTTACGCTGACATGGGTGCGTGCATATGTAAGTCGCCATTGTGTTGTATATGCCTGCAATTAAAAATTATCTGCGAGACGGCATCGGCTATAAAGTACACTGTAAATTTGCCTGGAAATTAACCGAATAAGGATGCTGGTGGGGGGCGTAATTTATTCGCCACTAATTGTAAGGCCGATGGCTTAAAGCCAAAGTCAAGATTTAAGTTTTTCGAACCACAGCCACACGAATGTCGGCCAGTGTAATAAATTGTGGGGCTACTGGGGCCCGGAGGGGCGGCTTGCATCAGATTAGTAATTATGTAAGGCCCACGCATGGCGGGGCACAAGCCCATTGACTCGCCCAATGAATCCCCATAAATCCGCGCATAAATACAAATTACGGAGGCGACCAGTAATATCAATTTACTTGCGTGGAGTAGTAGTGGGTGGTGGCAGGGTTAGGAGGCCAAGCGGCAGTCAAAGGTTAAACAAAATCCCATGCATAATGAAAACCGCTTTCAGATGTCCTTTGGCTTCGTGGTCATTACTTATGTTTTATGACATGCGGCTTAGGTTTTATGCCTTCGGCTCAGCATCTTCTCGAGCCAGAGGGCCGGGCTCCATAAGTATATTAAAAGAGTAGGCATTCCGGGGCAGCGACTCGGCACTAAGCAACTAACTAATGCACACCTTCCTGATCTGATTAATCACACCACTCCCCTTGCTCTTCTTTGCAGACAATCATCCGCGAAATGAATCGACTGGGCATGATGGTCGACCTGTCGCACGTCTCCAAAGGAACCATGCGCGACGCCCTTGAAGTGAGCGAGGCACCTGTGATATTCTCACACTCCTCGGCCTACGAGCTCTGCAACACGAGCCGCAACGTCCAGGACGACATCCTGCAGGCCCTGGCCAAGAACGGCGGCCTGGTGATGGTCAACTTCTACTCGAAGTTCCTGTCCTGCAGCGACAACTCCACCGTGCACGATGCAGTCGGTAAGTTCCCTCTAAATTGAGTATCCTTGTCCAAAATAAGTAGATCATGCTGCTCCGTTTTAAGTCTGGCTCCAATTTCCCATTTACCTTATTAAGCACCATTGTGGCCGACTCCCCCATATATCTCTTTCCGCCCAAATCAATCAAAGTCAGTGACTTGGTCGCGGTTGCTTTTTGTTTTCCGTGCCCCTGATTGTCAGGCTATTGTTTCAGTTAGTTCATTATTGCCTCCCCGAACCTCTTGTTCTCGGCCTGCTCGGATTTTTCTGGCATTGCTTTTGACGCGCCATCAAAATGGGTCTCGTAATCACTTCCTGTATTCGTTGTCTTTCTTGGAGCCACCTCAAAGACCTCCGCCCTTTCCCAGGCACCAAGAAAAATGCCTTTTGAAACACTCCAGTACAAGGCGGAGAGGATATTATTTAGCCAAGCATTTCTCGCTGTGTGGAGACTGTAATGAAGCCCTCTAATGTCTTCCCTTTGAATCTCTTTTCATGTCTTTGTTTTCGGCTGCCGTGGACACATTTCAAATTCGAAAAAATTTTAATAACGCTGACTTATGATGGCATCTCGGCAACTACAATTGCAACAACAATGGCGCCCGCCCCCTGCGACAATGGCTCTTAATGAACTTGACAACAAATGGCAACCGTGGCTATCCCGCCATCACCGCCTCCTCCGATACCCGATATCCTTCGGGCGGGCAATGGACACACAATTTGGTGCACAGCGCATATTAATCACATTAAGCGAGTCGCCGGCATCGATCACGTTGGACTGGGCGCCGGCTACGACGGCATTAATTAGTAAGTAAAAGTCATTTATTTCACTTAAATTCGCATTTTGCTCCTCGCACGCCGTATCCTTCTCTCTATATAGCGCACAGTACATGTACTCCTCCAGGTGGTTTCGTTCTTTTCCTTTTTAAGTTATTAATTGATTATATTTAAGTCCGAGGGCTTAAAATTGGCATATTGCCAGCCAGCGGTGCCATGGATGTGGATAGACCGTTATTATTTTACCGCTCATTATGGCCACCTTTGTCATAGCTTTTTCCGCTTCCGCCTGCCGCTCTGCCGTGCAATCTGTTTACGAGACTTTTAAGATAATTTAATGAGCTCTCGCCAGGCACAGGATAAAAGATTATCGCGAGCTGGAATTGGGGACTTATCGGAGTCGTAAAGGGATTTGCTTCGCAAGCCTAAGCCCAACTTCATGAAACAAAATACAAAATATTACAAAGCCACAAAATAAATGGCCAATTAAAGCTCACAAATCGGACGGTTTAAAATTAAATCCAGTTTAAAGTCCGCGTCTGTTAAGTGCATGCATTACCTCAATGAACAGGCCCAGTGGCCAAATGTCCCACATTGAGGGCCCTCGGTTTTACCAACCGTGTCATCATCAGTGTCATTCGTCTTCATTATCGTTGTAATTATTCTAGTGGTACCGGGGAGAGTGCATTTGCATAGATTTCCATTCCATTGCATCATGGACACAATGCAAAAACAAACAAAATTTTGAAGCTGAATTTTGGCCAGCCAGCCTTCCCTGCCTCTTTCCAGCGTGGCTGTTTTTGAATTAAATATTTTGAGTACATGGTCAACATGTTTCGAGCAACAAAAGTGGTTGGGTCTCAGCCAAAAAAGCAACTACAAATATCCTTCCATGTAAATCAATTTCCACTAAAATGAACTTCATTTTGTTTTGCCACAAAAATTGACAACAACAGCATGTTCTGGGGAAGGAGAAAATAAAAACAAGGAATCTGAAATTGCGTATATGAATATTTATGGGCCAATTGCCCCAAACCAACAACGATACCAGCACGAATATCACACAATAAATAATCTAAAATTCTGTGAAATTACTAAATGTCACATGGTCTTGTATCTAGTGCCCTGCAACCACGCTTTCGGGGAAGACCAACATAGCTTTAAATTTTAGGGAGAGATGCTTTTAGTAAATTCTTTAATTAAGGATCGCATTAAATTATGATTTTATCAATTACATCTGAGGTTTAATAGACATATCTATTTTTCTATTATTTTTAATCCGCATGAGTAGCACATTTTTAATATTATTTTGCAAGACATTGTATATTATAGTCAAAGCTTAGCACCCTTTTTCGAACTGTCCCTGCCGCATGTTTGCTGTCCGTTCCATTTAAATCGTGTTTGGCTTAAACGCCCGAGTATAAATGTTAATTATTATTTATTTGTTCGAAATTCGAATGCCTGTTCATAAAATATGATTACCAAGCACTTGAGCGTTTGGGCAGCACAATTTTATTTATTATTTATATTCCTTTGTGTGTTATTCATTATTTATTTGTTTTTGTCGATGTGCTTTTGGCTGTTACTTGACTCGGTTGCTTTATTGCGCCTAGAATGTCCTGAACACGAGTGCTATTGCCACCGGCCTTGCTTCAGTTGGTTGTTGATTCAATTTATTTTTCATGTTTGGCATGAAATTAGATTTAATTGTGCGGAGACTATATTTTGAAATATGTGCCGTAGAGAGCCTGTAGCCTTTAGTCTACATGCTCCATTCATTTTGTTTACGACGCAAGACACGAAGCTAAATTTTGTGGCATTTGGAATTTGCTTACAGCACCCCTAAAGGATTGGAGGATGTCTCCTCGTATCCAACACTGTTTGCTGAGCTCCTCGGAGGCGGCTGGACTATCGATGAGCTGACAAAACTGGCGGGTGGAAATTTCCTGCGCGTTATGCAGCAGGTGGAAAAACTGAGGGATGACAAAAAGGCATCCGGAGTGAAGCCCTACGAGGACCACCCCAATTTCCGCACCGACGACCCCTACAACTGCACCTCCAGCTAATTGAGTACTGGAGCCAAACACACTGAGGTTGTACCGGAGCTGCCGAAGGAGTCCTTACCCGAAAGGATAGGAAAGCCGAGGGAACTCCTGCTTCGTTTGAAAGCAGAATGAATACATAGCCAATTTACTCAATGTAATTTGAATAAATTGCTACTAGAAATGTACGATTGTATAAGCTTTAACGACACAGAATTGTAAAATATTTACACATCCCATTCCTCATTATTTGGCCGCCAAAAAGGCATCCCTCTGTCCTGGTACTCAAAACGAATTTCCTTTGATTTTGGTGACAATCTACTAACTGCCAACAAGACAAACTTTAGTGTACACAGCACACGTATCCCACACAAAACTACAGGATCTGATTTACTTTCTGTCCCGAAATAGAGAATGGAAAACAGTAACACGGATGATTTCCGGGTGAACTGAACTCCAACTGGACCAAGACTTCTCGTTTCGCCCCTCGGAAGTTTCATTTATTTTAATAATTTACACGAGAACTACATATCAAGTAATTGTATGAACAACAAACAATATTTTTTGCATTCGGATTGAATGCAAGCATTTGCGAGTGGGAAAGCTTACACTTAACGTAATCGAATAAATATTAACGTAAGTATAGTACATAGGAAAGCCAAGGGGATAAAGCATCTCCTCCTTCAGAAGGTGCAGCATAAGATATTTAGTTAAACTTGAAATCAGATTAAGAGACGACGAGCACTGAAAAAGTGTATAGGGGATAGCGTAAAAATTACTAAATTAGTACGTAAGCCAAGTGTGGGCGTGGCTCTGCCTGCCACACAGTAAATTGTAAATAGATGCGAGTATAACATAAGGCTACTATAACCCTAAAGCTAAGCATATAGGATTCACGAATTTTTCATTATCTTCCCCGGACTCCCACACAAACTAGGACACACAGACTCTGTCAGCCTCTCTGTACCTTCTATATAGAAAAGAAAACTCTCGATCGAAAATCTAGTCAAATGTGTCTAGCATAAGTAAACAAATTATACATCATAAACCAATTATATAAGCAAAAATTTAAAGACAAGCTCAATAATTGTAAATTTTTTAAACCAAAACTGAATACGCAAGGCAAATCTAAAAATATATATACTGTTACGTTTTTGTACGATTTTGTATGTGTACATAGCGTTTTTACCTATGCTCTTATATAGTTTTCTAGCAAACAATTCAATCGTAATATTGTACTGGATCTGACGAGCAAAAGTTGTTGGTAATCACATCTAGTCATTAGTCATTAGTCTGGCCTGGAAGGTCGAAATAAATATATCTGTAAAGTTTATAAACATACTACATATGCCTAGATATAGCCAATACTCTGGAGTAACCACACAGAAATGCATATACACGTACAGAAGCTCTTTAAAACCTAATAATAAAATACAGAATTATTTAATTTTTTGATTTCGTCAACTTTTTGAAAAACAGGAAACGCAAACATAAACTCATGTAAAACCAAATTGTAGTTAAAACCTTAAAAATGACAGTGTTTAGCAAATAAATCTCATATGGAAAATGAAATGCAGTAAATATAAAAACAATTAATGAAAATTGGAGTTTTTTATTTCGCGCTCTTTTTAAACATCTCGTAAAATGTACATTCTCAAGAAGGTAAATGAGTTTTTGTTCGCTGGTAATAGTCATCATTAATTTTAGTTAATTTATTATAATTTATCAATCTAAAATTATATATTGTATGTATTAAGCTAAAGTTCTTTGGCTTTTAATTTATTTTCTTTTTTTGTATTAATTAATCCTGTAACGTTTCATTCTGCAATCGATGTATCGATAATTTTGTTAGTGCTGCCACTTTACAGATAGCTAGCTGATTCTTAGTATCAAAATCTGGCAGCACTGACGGTTGTTCGCATACCATATGGTCACACTTTCATCTATAAGTTTACAAAGGCGCAGGTTTCATCATCAAAACGAAAATATTAAAAAGCCGGTGGATGTACAAAGAGTGTGGGACATTGGAGCTTAACTGCCAGACTAAATGGCGTCAGGGGAGCCGGAGGGGATGGAGCTGCATCCGGAGGAAGCCGTTGAAAATGAAGAACATCTGCCGGGTGAAATTGTTCGGTGCTCTGCAGGGAATCTAAGCTACAATGAATTTTTTTGGCGATTTATGCACAAAAACTGGCCAGTCGTTATAACGGACGTCTCCAGAGACTGGGAGTGCTCCAAACAGTGGACAACGGTGTCTAAAGCCACAGACGTCAACTCCAACCAGCCAAGTTCGTTCCCCTCCGAGCCTTCCTCCGCCATCAACTTTGACTACCTCAAACAAAAGATTGACAACTGTCCGGTCCCGGTTGCCGATTGCAATTCCTCGTACTTCAATAGCCACACAAAGTTGGAGCTTAGGTTCCACGATTATCTCGACCGATGGAGAAGTAGCATCGAGGCGAATCGGTCGTCGGAACTCAATAGTAATGTAGATATCCGGACCACGGACAACCTCTACCTCAAGGACTGGCATCTGGCTGCCCAAATGCCGGGCTACAACTTTTACAAGGTGCCTAAATACTTTGCCTCTGACTGGCTGAACGAAATGCTGGTCGACCAAAAGAGAGATGACTATAGATTCGTCTACATGGGACCCAAAGGATCATGGTAAGTAGAAAGTCTGAATGAATTTAATTTGGTTTTTCTAATTGTCTAATCACCCAGGACTTCCTACCATTCGGACGTGTTTGGCTCCTTCAGCTGGTCCACCAACATAATGGGTCACAAAAAGTGGCTTATCATGCCGCCAGGCGAGGAACACAAACTAAACGATCGCCTGGGGAACGTCCCATTCAGTATAGATGAGCAGTTGCTAGAAGAACATGGTGTGAACTACTATACCATCAACCAAAGAGCCAACGAAGCCGTTTTTGTGCCCAGCGGCTGGTTTCACCAGGTGTGGAACTTAACCGATACCATATCCGTAAATCACAACTGGTTCAACGCCTGCAACATCGCCACGGTGTGGCAGAATCTTAGAAGCAACCTCAATGCGGTGAGGGAGGAAATATCAGACTGCCAGATAATGGATAATTTTGAGGCCCATTGCCAGACTATGCTGAGGGCCAGTTTTGGCATCAACTACCTCGATTTTATAGAACTCCTTGAGTTCATAGCCGATCGCCGAATAACCCAGGCCAATAAAACATCCGCTCAGTTTTTAATGTTCAATAGTTATACAATGAACGACTACCATGTGCAATATGATCTCGAGTGTTTAAGGAAGACCTTAAGGCAAATGTCAGAAGATTCGACTATTACTCAAAGCCCACTTCAGTTAAGTGAGCGGTGCCAGAAGTTGAAGCACCGATTGGAATTTTAGTCATCTGCAAGGATGCAGAAAAGACCATGGAATATTTTTATACCACGTGTATTCATGTATTGAAACTAGTAATATTAATTTCTGTAAACTGTTATTTATTATTACAATAACTAAAGTATTGTAATATTTTAATTTTTAAATATGTTCCGGTTTTTCCCAAACAGAATTCTTCAAAAATTCACGGAAAAATTGGGAAAAATTCCGAAAAATCATAACCCTTTAAAATAAAACATTTTAAACTGAAACTTACACTGCGTATTCTACAGGTGATTAACTATAATACGGAAAACTATTACCAAATCGGGACTCGAACTACCTCAGACACAAAATATCGGAATAAATATACAATCAAATTGTTGTCCATTTTCAAAAACTTCAAAAACAAAAAGGTCGAAATTTTATTGGTTGATTTTCTAGATGTGACTATTTCCTCTTTTTCACTTTTTAATTCAGTCGATTGTAAATATCTCGACCATTTTCCTACCAATTTGAGATAACAGAATGTCATTAAAAAAATAAGGAATCAAATTTTGTTGGTATCTTATAGTGGTCTGAAACGCCTTTTGAAAAAAGGATATATTACCCAGATATTTAATATCAAACGTATTAAAATACAGAACATTCTTTTTTTCAATTGATTGTAGACTTTGTGACCGATAGCAATATTTTGGACGAAGCTTGGAATTGAGACAAATCGCAAATTAGGGAATGAATTTCCATTTTATTAATTCGAAGGTATTTCGAACCCAACTTTACCGAAAATATGTTAAATAGTTTTTTTTTCGTTAAAATGGGGTTTGTGGCCAACAACAATCTGCTGAATCGTTGCCACCTGGATGGTTAAGGCCCACTTGGTTTCTGCCGCCCAGTCCCCAAGGGGAATTTTCAGGAGGTTGTTGACCCGAGGTTCGAAATTGAAGGACTTGAAACTCCGAAAGAGTACGTCTATTTTTTTAACTCCCTTCCTTTTCTCTTGTCCAGGTTTTTGTTTGAACTTTTTATGTTTTTGTGAAAGCATAAGGTTCCGGTAGCATCAATGGAAGTCAAATGGAATTCTTTTCTCATACAAAAATGGAAATCGGTGTTTTTTTAGAGGGACAAGCAAAGAAATGGAATTAAAAGAAGGCCCGTTGGGGCGCAGACCTGGAAGCTCTAGATTAGCGGGAGCTAGATGCTGGATCTTGGCCCTACTACCAAAGAGTAGTTATAAGATATTATCTTTTATATAAAGCTCATATTTGAATTGGCTTTGTTGGTGCTGTTTATTGAAGTAGGCGCCTGTTAAGAGTCAGGAAAAGCGCCCAACCGACCGTTGAGCCAGATGATGGTCATAACGAATTACATAGTTAAAATAGAATTAGCTGCAGAGAACTGCAATTCAAGTGTTAACCATATGAATGCACCATAATACATAAATACTCGCTAAATTTGAGTGAATGGTCCAAACCACTATATACTTTAGCTTCTTGCTCGGTTTTCAATTAGGACAATGCTACACCGAAACACTTTTAAATTAAACCCAATTGCCGCGGCCACAGAAAGATACACAGAATAAATGCGCTGCGCCTCGTAGCGAAATAAATTTTACATTTTTCGGATGTTTTACAAAATGTACATGTATTTACTTCGAAGATCTATCCTCAGAGGGAGCGCAAAAAGCCAATTGGAGCAGATGTGATCTTTAGTCTACTTCAACTTCTTCTTGGGACGCAGGTTGTTGGTGTGTCCACACTTCTTCTTGCGGCAGTTGGTGGCACGAGGGTGCAGACGAGCGTAGCACTTGCGGCAGATCATCTTGTCGCAGTTGTACTTCTGGGCCAGGATGCGGAGCGAAGGCTCAATGATACCACCGCGCAGACGGAGCACCAGATGCAGGGTCGACTCCTTCTGGATGTTGTAGTCCGAAAGGGTGCGGCCATCCTCCAGCTGCTTGCCGGCAAAGATCAGACGCTGCTGATCTGGGGGGATACCTTCTTTGTCCTGGATCTTGGCCTTCACATTCTCGATGGTGTCCGAAGGCTCAACCTCGAGGGTGATGGTCTTGCCAGTGAGGGTTTTCACGAAGATTTGCATGGTGACGGCTGTAAAAAAACACAATATATAAGAATATGCTAGATCTGTTTTGCGCTTTTCAGAAAGCGACGCAGCTCGTGTTTGTGTGGCAGCTTCGAGGTTATGTCCGATGAGGACTTTTCTGCGAGAAACAGCTCGCTACCTCCGCTCTGTGTCGAGGCCTGCGCTTTCCAAATGGTTCCCAATAGGAACCGGCGCCAACGGTGCCATTATTCGAGTTTTTTTTTTCATTTTTTTATTTCACATATCAAAACTTACCAGAGAAAACGTGCTGCCTAAAATCGTACCAGAAGAAGAAAAGAGTGCCCCTTCCTAAATTAGAGGTGTCGAAATTGAAAAATACCAAATTTAAGTATAACGCGTTAGCTTGGGAAGTTATTTTTAATCCCTAACGCTTTGCAACACTGTTTCAAAACTTTGCAATTGTTGAATATTTCAGCGATACATTTATTATCTCTAAAAAAAATTCGCTTTAATATAACTGTATATATCTTAATCTTTCAGTTATTGGTATTTAAATAAAAGGCAAGATAAAAGCTGAGCAACAGGTTTCAAAACAATGTAATAATTAAGTGCAAAAATGTATGCAATATATGGATAAAATACATTTGTTTTCATGAGCTTTCACGTATATATATCTTATACATTTTAAAGTTTAAAATGAAAGAATTCTTACGATAGTTTTTTTTCAATATCGTCCAGCCCTGTGTAAAATCCTGTTTTCCAACAACTCTTATGGCCACACTTATCTTATCCGTTTCAAGATTTCTACGTTATACGTTAGCTACATTACGACAAGTTAAATGAGCAGAACTTTTTAGAAGTACAAAAAAAAAAACGTGGATTTCCTCTGAGCGCACAGCATGTCGAAAGTAGACGAAGGGCAGCCCGCAGCCGAAGGCGCGGTAAGTCAGTGGGTCTTAGGGGACCCGTTACGAAGAACCCACTCCACCACCGACCTTATTTTTTTCTAGGTGGTTGCTGGCAATGGGAACGCTGAGCTGGCCCAAGAAGGTCAGCCGGGACAGGAGGGCCAGCCGCAGCAACAGCAGCCCACCCGCATGGAATCATTCTTTGCGATGACAAAGTCATTGATTCTGCGCGCCCTAATCATCTACTTCGTAAGCTCTTTCTTCCGCCGCCCGCAGCCCAATGCCGGCCAGGGCCAGGACAAGAGCGTGGCCAATGCGGGTCCAAAGATCTCTGCGTGGAACTACTTTGAAAACGGCACCGAGTTCGACTTGCACGTGTGGCTATCGGAAGAGCCGGACATTGTGAACTTCCAGCAGAAGGCCAACCTTCTTTGGCTGCAGGAAGATCTGACCTACGGAGACTGGGTATCGGGGCCAACGGGTGATGGCATTTACACGCACAGCCTTAAGCTGAAAGCCAGCCAGCATTTGATGAACAACGGAAGCGTCTACCTGCACGCTTTTGTGACCAGATCCGGCGAAAGTCCCGACCCGCAGGCGCCCAACTATGCGGCGAATGGCCACATGGGCCACCAACAGCAACAGCTGAACAAGTTCAAAAAACTGCGCGTCAATCGAAACTACAACCTACTAGCCAGCGAGAAGGAAAAGCTGGAGCACGAGCTGAAGCACGCGAACCTCAAGGACACAATAGTTTCCCATTGGCATCCTAACCTCACAGTGAACTTGGTGGTGGACCAGACCAACTGGGCCCAGGGCACAGTGCCGCCGCCGCTAGATGAGTACGTTAAGTTTGTCGACGGTGGCAAGACGTATCTACCGATAGTGTTTGTGAATGACTATTGGAATCTGCAGCGTGAGTACTTCCCCATCAACGAAACCACTCCCGAGCTGGAGCTGCACCTCACATTTCAGCCACTGGGCATGTTCAAGTGGCAACTATACGCCGCAAAGCAGATGAAGAACAAATGGGCCGGCAACATGCTGGGTGAGCTGATGGCCGCCAGTCAGCCGGAGGAGAGCGACGAGGACCAGGACTCGTTGAAGGAGACCCTTTTGGACACAAACATTTATCTGCTCGGTATCACCGTGGCCGTGTCCATCCTGCACTCAGTGTTCGAACTGCTGGCCTTCAAGAATGACATTCAGTTCTGGAACAACCGCAAGTCACTAGAAGGCCTGTCAGTGCGGTCCGTGTTCTTTGGCGTTTTCCAATCCTTGATCATCCTTCTGTATGTTTTGGACAACGAGACGAACTTCATGATTCGAATCTCCTGCTTCGTTGGCCTTGGCATCGAGGTGTGGAAGATTCACAAAGTGGTGGACATCGACTATAATCGCGAGCAGAAGCTCTTCGGAGTTCTGCCGCGGATCAGTTTCCAGGACAAGGGGTCCTACTCAGAGAGTTCTACCAAGGAGTACGACAAGCTGGCCTTCAAGTACCTGGGGTGGGCTTGCTTCCCCCTGCTGGTGGCCTACTTTGTCTACTCGCTGATCTACAACGAACACAAAGGATGGTACTCGTTCGTCCTGAACATGCTATACGGCTACCTTCTGACGTTCGGCTTCATCCTGATGACTCCTCAGCTGTTCATCAACTACAAACTGAAGTCGGTGGCGCACATGCCGTGGCGTATGATGACCTACAAGTTCTTGAACACCTTCATCGATGACATATTTGCGTTCGTGATCAAGATGCCGACCATGTACCGGCTCGGCTGCTTCCGCGACGACATCATATTCTTTGTGTTCCTTTACCAGCGTTGGCAGTACCGCGTCGACCTCAAGAGAGTCAACGAGTTCGGCTTCTCTGGGGAAATGGAGCAGGAGCAGGCCGGGGCCAAGGCCGCAAACGGGGCGATCGAGGGGCCCGCTGCAACTACGCCAGCGACCAAAAAGACAGCCGCGCAAAAAAAACAGGACTAAGTCTGGGAGTAAGACTAGGCCAATATCCAAAGTATGCATTAACAGCATTGCGACAAGGCAATACTATATACTCCCACTATGAATGTAATCACTCCAGTATACATAGTCAAAGGTAATCCCCTAGCATCATTATTAGGGCTAATTGTAATTTCGTATGTTTGTGTTTCGTGCCCTCCATGCTGGATCACCCAGCGTAGGAAGATCAAATAAATTAAGTGTGGAATGAAATTGTTAAGATGTCGGCTATCTGGCTGTTGTATCTAATCTGGATTATCTAATCTCCTGGCGATGTAGCGGGGCACGACTCCCTGTTTTATTTTACAAAGTCAGGGGTTTTCTTCTTTTATATAAGCACTCCAGCAACATGCTCCAATTATACTTAATACTGCATTTACTGCAGATTTTGTTAATAATATTTTTATGAATTGAACCACAAATTTACGGCATTTATTATTTAAATTTAAAAAAATTGTTTTCATATGCACTCCAACTATTTTCTCCAGTTATTTTTAATTTAAAGTGCAATTACTGCACATTTTGTTAATATATTGTTTTATTAGAGTGACAAATTTAGTCTTTCATTTATTATTTAAAATTTAAATAAAAAACTTGTTTTCATTTTTAAAAAATTATTAAAATTTTCCTTGTAAATAAAATCAACGTTGTACAACACTGTCCATGGACCCGCGTAAATTTGAAATTACAGGTTGGGAAAAAGTTCAAGGAAAGTAAGCAAAGGATGAAGGAAAAGATTTTCAAAGGGCGTTGCAACCGGTTCTTTATTTCTTTTAAAAGGTTTTGGAGCAGAATCTTTTGAGGTAACAATCTTCCCATATGATCGGCCTAAGGCTTCATAATGCTAGACAATGATACAGACATCGCAATGGTTCATTTTTGAACAACATACTTGTCAACATAGGTTACATATCAAAAACCGATAAAATAAAGATCTATAATAAAATTTTAAGGTATTCTGCTTATGGATAGGAGGTCAATTGACAACGATATAGATTGAAGAATAAAGAAAATCGAATTGCAAAGCATCTCCCCCCTTCAAATCAGATTCTTATTGGCAAAAATATAGACACTGTTAGGAACCGTACAAGACATTTTCCAATTTCGGGGACTTTATATTAATGAAATCAAAATTTATATCAACTCATTACGACCCAAGCCACATGGCGTTTTATTTAAAATTTCAAGCGCTTCCGGCCAAGAGACATGTGCCGCAAGTTTTCACTTTCACCCACAGGCAACAGCTGCAATGGCTTTGGCGGGATTTTTTACAGATTTAGAACACTCCGCCGCCCGCATTCCGACGTGCCCGGGAATGCACTACGGTTTTACGAGCTGCAACATCAGGCATTCCGTACTCCGTATTCCTCGGTATTATGGATTCGGGCCGGCGAACCGACATGTTTGTCAGTGGGAGACAACAGTTGTGCTTTTGATGTGGGTGTCGCTCGGATAATGGGCGGCGATCGGGTCTAGGAGCAGCACTAGGCCGACACCAGCTCCCTGCACTGAAAGAAATACGGTTTAATAAGAAGATGAAGCAACCTGCCCCATAAATTGCACGGTGACGACAATCTGGATGGCTTCTTAAACACTTGGATTGGACATTGCGGTGCCTTAATCCATTTTCGTATATTAATGAGTAATATATTGAATAAATTTAATACACTGCGAGAATTGTCTGAAGTAGCATTATTTAGAAAATACTATCAAATAAGTTATAAAGAGATATGAGAATAAAATGTATCTTTATCTCAGGGAAAGTAACACCCATTGCAACTTTACACCCATGATCCTATAGTATTTTTTTCAGTGCATCATTGCAGCGTCGACTCCGTTGAGCTTGTCTGCTCGGACGACAAATTATGACGAACTGGGCGCTATAAGACCATACACCTAAGAAATATTGTTCCCAAGTGCGGGGCCCCACCGCGTCCATGGCCAGCTGCGATGCCGCCAATTTTGTTTATGTGCTTTTTAACCCAGGGTTGCCCCTTATTGCCGTTAACGTCGGGGGCCACTTATGGCGATCCCATAAATATTAGGAGCCGTATCTCTCAGAGTCTCTCCCCCTCCTTATGGCCACAGAAGTGCTACGCAGATTGTTCCGTTTCAGATTCAATATGTGTTTTTTCAAATGGCCCGAATTAGCAGATTTGAACACCTGATCTGAAGAAGACGGGAACACCCTCGGCCAGATCGGCGGCAAGAGGTGCACTTTTGATCCGAAAACAGTACAATGTTTTCGGCGGGACGCCTCCGCGCATTTCGTTCTGAACTTTTGTGCCAGAAAGCAGAGACACTTGAACGACAGATGCCACCGAATGCGCCACCATCCGAGCAGTGCCAAAAACCGGCCGCTGGGTCCAAAGTACAATTAGTGACATTCTGCCAAGATGTGCTGCATAGAACACGAGCATCTTAATGAATCGGGGCGTCGTCGTGAAAGCAAAACCAAAATGCCATTCTAATTGTCTGCATTTTTTTCACGGCTGGCGCCAAATGTCTTCGTGTGGCAGCGTGGTATCAACAGGCCGAGCCCAGTATCTTGGCCATCTCGACTGCGAAGATCCGATTTATGCCAAAATTGCACATGGGCGGAGGTGCAGGAAGTGGATCGACCCCTTATCTTATATAAGGCTGATCCCGCAAAGAGCTAATCGGTTCACGGTCTTTTAAACTCGTAAACTCGTAAGAAGATAAAAGCTCTTTCACTGATCTACCAGGGGGGAACTATTTTTAGCAGAAACGTGTTAATTGGGGTATAAGTAGTTATTTGTAGCTAGGGCATTATACTATTTTTAGTATGTCCATACGAATCCATATAAAATTAACTGTCTAGCACCTTTCGAGGTGTTGGGGCCTGATTGTTCCCTGAATAGCCAGACGGTGCGAAGAGTGTGTCAGTTTGGCAGGCGCACCTACTGCGCACCTTAAAGACATGTTCTATATCTTTGATGTTTTCACGATTTAGTCCCTACATTATAGTGGATCATTCAATTAGTCGATAAAGAGTCTTTCCCGAAAGTATGCGGCGGTTGGGGACCGCCGTCTGTGATGCATCAGCTGCATGAGGGTACTCCGTCAATAAACTTTGCATTTCATTTTGCATTTTCGAAGAAATTCGCAGCCGCTCAGCCCCTGCGTCAGGGTCATTTTACCTGCTGCTGCTGCTCCTGCTCCTGTTGCTGAATGAACTTTCCAAAAGCACCTGAGAAGCCCAACCGCACGGTGCAGTTATTAATTTAGGCAGTCCGATCAACACTGGATGCCCGCCAGCGTACAGCACATCATCATCAGAAACGACAGTGGCAGTGGCAGTGCCAGTTGGCAGAGCCTGCACCTTTCCATGACAAGGTGTCCTCTCCAGAACACTGCCGGCTGGATGCCGACCCGAAACTGAACAACGACAGAGGGGGGATGTCGTGAAAGGACACATACTTCGATGGCGCTGAGCCTGATACGTTTATGGGCAGGAATTTCAAAGGTGCGGGCTGAAATGAAGTTCTGAAAGAAATGGGAGCTCTTCTGAGATAATAGTACTCCTTCCACGGGTACTAAAAGTTAGCTTTGATATACTTTCATGCCCCAGAGTAAAGCCCTTGCCCGTCCAGAGGTGCAAGTGTTGAAGTTGCACTCACGTTCTGGTAGTCTGGTTTCGAGTATCTCGGCTTTCGGACGCATAAACGAAAACCCAGATGCCTCGGCACGCAAATGAAGAATTCAAACCAGTTGCTGCCACGGCGACAAGTGGCAGTGGAAGTGGTGAATGCGCCAACATTGGCAAATGAGTGGCCAATAGCCCGTGACCGTCATATCGCTACCCGCTCGGTGTGCTTTGTGTGCGGCATGGCATGTGGCTGCAGGGCACAGTGGACACCTCGACTGGCTGGCTGGGAGCCTTGCTGGCTGCCTCAGTGCGTGTCAACGTCGAGGCGCGACCACTGTGCCGCAACAAGCATCTGGCCGATCGATCGGCGGCCAGAAACCAGACACTGGAGCTCTGCCCTCGGCGGTTACTTTACTTATTTGCATTGCGTTTATGACACGGCAGTCGCACATCCGAATTCGAATCCGAGGCCGAGGACGAGTCTGAGTGTGAGTCCGAGTCCGAGTCCGATACCGAGGCCACGGCCACCAGCTGTGCACCTGGCGCCAGCCAAAATTAAGAAAATCGTCCTCTGTCTGGCTCTTTGTGTGTTGACTGCAAAAATGGAAAATCCTTCCCAAAACAAAGGGCCACCGGACAATGCAGTTTTATGGCGAGGGTATTGGACAAAGTCCGGCTGACTGCAAGTGCCTGATTGCAGGAAGTGCACTTAGAGGTAGTAGGACAGCCTGCAGGACAGGTACCGCGAGCCAAGGTGTCTTCTGTCCATTGGCCTGTGCCTCAGTCATTGCGCTGTTCTCTAACAGCTAGCGATTCCCTATATTTAGCTCCTTGTGTCACTATTTTCTGGCATTCCATCCAAGAATCCCCCATCTGACAGAGACGGGCCCGAAACAAGGGCCACGGCCTCCAAGGGCTTATCACGGCACTCACAAAACTAGGAGTATGGGAGCACACATCCGGACAGACATAAATAGAAAGATTGGAGGTGCATGCCGCAGCATCTAAAGTGGCCACATGCCAAGCACTTCTATTGAGCATCTCGTCCGAACCTCGTTTTGGGGATACTTGTGCTCCAACTCGAACTCCGCCCGGAGCCATCCCGACTTTCGTATTAACCAGGCAGACTGGCTGCCGAATTGCTTCTGTGTAATTTCACATGCAGTTGCCCTGACTTGGGGGCGAATTGTGGCAACCGAGACAGGGACGTCCCGGTCTGGGGCTGGGATGCGCTTGCGGGTGTGTCCGAGCCAGGGAGCGTGGGAATCGCTGCTGCCGATGATGCGGTTCTCCAGATCCATTAGCGTGGATTCGTCTTGCGTGCAGAAACAGTCGCAAATTGGGGTGCGGGGGCTGGCTGACTCGGTGGCGATGTCTCGCCAGAACTCTGGTTTTGAACCTTTTGACATTAATAGCGGATATTTTAGGATCTAATTGTGTTCCGAGGGTATGATATTGCATGCACGCATGCCTCCTGATCATTAAGTCCAGCTTGCGGCCATCACGTTCTCGGCGAAAGAGTGGCCTTCAGCCTTCAGCCTTTGCATACGCACCTCTCCCTCCCTGGATCTGGTGAGACTTAATTTTTTAATTGAGGACTCGGCCTGACACCGCAGGTTTGCAGTGGGGTTTCCTGAATTACCCAGCTCAGGCCGAAACATATGTGTCCGAGAAGTAATGTTCCCAGACGCACACCCAGAATTTCCCAAAAGTATTCCCACGCCGAATGCCAAGACATCTTGTCGCCAGGCAGCGCTCAGTTGGCTGCAAATTTCACACATTCAGCACCCAGCCAGCAAGGATGCGAGTCCTTCTGGTCAGCATATGCACCGCCGACAGCGTGCATGCAATTTCCATGAAAAATCGCAATCCGGCTGACGCCGCCAAAGGTCGCCAGGCGTGTAGCTAGACGACTGTCTGGGGGATTAAATACTTTGCTGGAAAACACTTCATATGCGCCCCTGACCCGTGACTGTGCACATGTGCTGGCACCCTGAGATCCATCCGCCGAGGCCCTATCCAAGTGTCTCCGTCCGCCGAGGAGGTGCCCATGTGTGCCATCTGGTTCTGTAAATACTTCGTATCTTCAGATCTGCCGCAATCCTTTCACCACCCGCACTCCAAAACATTTAACTTGCCACCGAATTGGGATACGCCGGATTGGGTTTGGAAATGTGGTGAACAGATTGTAGGTCCTAGTTCCTGCCTGCCTGCTTTCCTGCTTCCGTGTTAATCTCTCTAATGTAAACATCCCTAAACAGCTTCATGTTTTGGTGATTGACGTTGAATTTAATGCTCCGCTTAAAGACCTAAAGACCGCCGTTTAAATCTAAACATCTCTTAGTCTATCCAACTACTTCAAGCCAATTTAACCAGGATTACATATGCCAGTGAATGATGCTGTGCTGGGGAGCAAATAATCCCCTCTACCACGTGCCAAGGGTGGAGCTGGTCCTGCCATAACGTGACGTCACATGCAGAAACATGTGCTTATTACGGCAGAGTTATGCCCGAAGGTTGGATGTGTGTGTGTGTGTCCTTTGGCGGAGCACCTGTGGCATTGGCATCCGAGGCGGCAGCACGTAACCCCATCGCGTCACGTGGAGCCAGCTGGATGAGGGTAAATGCCTGCCACATTAACTGCGACTGTGACCTCCGTTATGCGAGTCTCTTTAATTGGATAAGGCGGGGTGGAAACTGTTGTGGCCCGACGATCCTCCGACAACCCACAAGACATTAAAATCAGGTGCAACAGCCATTAGGCCGGGTGGTTCTGGGAAGGCGGCACTACCTAGTTGCCGTGTGGGTAATTCCAGAAATCTATCAATCGCCCGGGAGTCTGGCAAGCGCCGGAAATTAGTCTAAGCAGACTGAAAGCAATTAGCGATCGAGACTTTGTAACCTAAGCCGCGCGGGTAGCGCCAGGTAAGGGCCTCGGTATGCAGAGGGTATGCAGATTCTCTGCAAGCAGGTAGGGTGCGTGTTATTATCATTGTAATCGTGCTTCATTCGAGGGGATAAGGTAAGTCAATCTCCCCGATTCGGGACACAGAAGCCAAACGATTCCTGCCCTGATTTGGCCATCGAAGCTCGAACCTCGAACAGAAGCCAAATCAATAACTGCAACTTCAGCTAATGTCGTACAAAAATAAGAGCAGCCCGAATATTTCCAAAGTAATTCTAGCCGGGGCTCAAGGAAAAAATGGATGCTTTTTAAAGGTAGCGATCGAATTTCGCCGACACGTCCACAGACCATTTTTGGCAGTCCAGCCTGCGTCTTATCCTTGAACTTCCAGCTTGACAAAAGAAGACGACGCCTAAAAAGCCGGATCGCGACCTCAGCGGCGACGATGTGGAGGCTCCCCCACCCTGTCCCCGTACCCTGTCTGGGCCGAGGAGAAACAGGTTAGCCTGTTGCAGCAACACAGTCGCATTCTTATAAAGCCGAACAAGTCTCTCCTAAAACGAAAGTCATCATTCAAAAAGTATTTCGCGCGACAGCCCAGCCACTCGTGCCGGCGAGCCGGAGTACATCTGCTGACTCTCAGATAGCAGGAACAGCGGACAGACGGACCGAGGGACGGACAGCGGAGCCCTAACGATATTGGTGGATCTGCCCCTCGTTTTCAGCGGCAGGTTTTCGGTTTGTTTTGTGCCGCTTCGGAACGAGAGGCATGATCATGCGAAATTTAAACTTTTTCCTAGAATTGCTCCTTTTTGTTGATGCCCGGCTGGAACGCATAGAGAGGCTGCGGAGGAGAGTATCTGTACCCAAAAGGACCAAACGAAAGCACCAGGGACACATTATGCCTCGGCCATTGAAAGCCACTTTCCCGCCTTCTGTGGTATTTGGGAGGAACTATCCACAGAGCAGCCGGAAAGGCCTCCCGCTATCATCGCCGCTATTCCAGATCTCGCCTCGTGCGTTTATTACAGTGGAGAGCGTAAATTAAAACCGCAAACGCCGCGGTTCCAACACCAGCACTTTGTGGCTGTAGTGCGTGTGTTTATGCCCCAGCGTTTTCATTATAAACATGCTGCATGCCTCACTTGTTGCATGTGCGGCGCTCCCGCCTCTGTTCGGAGGCCTGTTCCCTACCAGGGAGTCGCAATGTTTTGCCAAGAGCTCTACATTAGAAGCCTCTCTTGCAAGGGAAAGGGTGTTCTGTAATCGGCTTGCTAAGGTTCTCAATTATGGGCTGGAAACCTCACAAGAGGATGCCGGCCAATTTCCGATTCTTCGGGAGGATGGGGAAGGGGAGGCTGTGATGCACGTTTCTGATAGCCGCCCTTATCGAAAGGTCATGGCTGGAGGGGGTTCGTCGCCACAGGAGTGGCGAGGGCAGTAACTGATTTGGATAATATAAGTAAGTAATTCCATAATCATACACCGTACAAAGACGTCAGAGGAGTGTAAGCCTTCAGGAGCAGGTGCAGGCCATGTGGCTATGACGCATTCACCGCCAACTGCGCAATCGCGGGCTGGCAGTAAAAAGTGAAACTGTTTCCAAGTCCTGCGGTTGACAGGCCTGATGGCCCCCAGTGTTGGCCAATTCGATAATCCCAATCTTGCCAGCAGTTGGCTCTGAGCATGAGGCTCTGAGCTATGTTCCCATAAATGCAGAACTCATGGAACAGGATCGCAAGTGTTCTCGGGGGCCTGAAAGTCTTTTGCGATTTATTCAAATCGGAATCGGGGCTGATAGCCATGCTAATAAAATGTGCAATTATCTAAAGGGTTTTTAATTAAGTGTAATGGAGGCACTTTCATAGGCAGGGAACACTTTCATTCATAAAACTGCGAGGAGCGAACATGCTCGACAGCGAACTGGGAACAGTCGGGTTCGACCGCGTGTGCTGTTAGCATGAGCACGAAGCCAGATACAGATACTCAGATACAGACACTCAGATACAATTGAAATCGAACTGAAACCGTCGCCTCAGATACTCAGATCCACTCGACGAGAACGGTCGTAGCCTGCTGCCGTCGGATGTCGGATTTGTCTGCCGAGCAGTCTCGTAAATGCAAAGAACCTCGAAGTTCCAAAAGATTGTTGTTCTGAAGTGCTAAAGAAAGTGCTCAAGTTCCTGTGACCGTAGAGTTCTAAGTTCTGAGGGCGAATGATAGGAAGCCCAGTTAATAAAGTTCGTGAGATATCAATTCGCTTCTCCTGATATCTAATCAGTTTTCGCAAATAATTTAATATTAACCGCGGTGAAGCATCGTTCAAAAATACAAAAAATAAAAACAGACTGAAACGTTGTTTGTGGATTACGCGCTCCCTCCTCCAAGAATTCCCAAATTTATTTCTTCGGACCCAAGCTATGGCAAGCGTCCAGCCGGAGAAACTCTACATGCACCTGAGCGCATCGGAGCTGGCGGCAATTATCATGAAAGGTGAGTTGGAGGCACCTGTTGTCCTCATACAGCGCTTCTGGCGGGCACTGCGCTGAACTTGGGTTACATTTGGGATATGGCAGCTCCGATTCATTTTGCTATCAATTAAGTTTCGCCGTGTACTGCTGTAATTGAAACGCAAGCAATATTTGCGGAGTTAATTAGCGAGCAAAGCAGCTGGCACAATAACGAAACGAGAATCGAAACCCGCCAGCTGATGTCACATATTCTTCTACACTAGACTACACCAGCGTGGGTGGAGTGTCCTTTGTGGAGTCCTTTGGGGTGGCAATTCAAATACTCACAGTCAGACACTCAGGACAGACGCGTAAACAACGCCAACTATTTGTCGCCATTGTAGCTCGGGGATGGTGGCGGGATGTGGGGTCTGGGCTGCATATGTCAAGTAGCTTCTGGGATGAATTGGGGATGACGATGTCGCCAGACATATTGGCAATTTGTCTGTTCTGCAGAACTGAGGCTGCGGCTGCCCACCCCCACCCCGGATTCATCGGCCCTCGGAATCAATGCCCTGAAGGTGACTCCCATCCGAGCTGATAGCATGGACTTTGCTTCAAGTGCTTTATGCCAGTTAACGACTCACTTTCGCGGGTTCTTCGGCACTTTCGGTGTCCTGGCAATGAGCTTGAGCAGTGACAGTTTCCGGTCTCGCAGTTGGCACTCCGTGGAGGCACCCTGGCGGTCGGGGGCCTTCGCTATTTGTTGTTTTTCAACGTCCGATTGTGGCACTGCCGCGACAGTTTCCATTTGCTAGACGGTGTTATTGGCGCCATCTGTTCTCAGGCAATCAGAGCGCTTATGGCCGGAGCTGGTACTCTTTGCTGGGTCCTCCGAATTGATAACTCTGGAGTAAGGGCCCCCAGAAGGGTAGCAGCTGTTGACCATATTTAAAATTAATGGTGTTCATCCCGAACTTCCATCCTGGTTTGGGCTTTGGGTGGAAGCTCCAGAACGGGTGGCGCATCACTTTGATCTTTTGGGAGTTTTTTTTAAAGAAAGTTTAAAGGTTATCATTAATTCACCAACTCATAACTGAAAATGACAATAATACTTAATACTAATTCCTTATTATTATAGCTTCTTCCACCAAAAGAAATCAGACCCTCAACTACAATCCTTTGGGTTTGTAGTTCGACCTAAATAATCAGCTTAAATGGTGAATAATAAAGTACTTCCAGTCTTCAGGTTTAATCTCTTCAGATAGTTCTAATCAACCCAGTTTTGAATCTATGTATATGCTATTCCAGTGACTAACTCGAGTCTCCAGCAAGGTAAGAACCTTGATAGGCTCCTTTTTTTTGAGCAACTAGCCCTCCAGTGGGACAAGTGCACCTGCAAACTCCCTCCCCGCGATGCGCTGGCGATTCATTCATAAAAGTGATGCGTCATTTTACTACAATATACACCACAATATAGTCGCCGGACATACTTACATGCACGTACGTATGTACGGGCACACACTGAGGTGATAAGAGAGGCTTCCCACACGGAACGGTTCCCAGTGGACCGGCCGGCCGTCAGCCAAAAGCCGCCTATGAAGATGATAACCTTTCGGTGACTTTTGGCGTGAATACGGGATTTTCTGATGCCTCTGACAGTTAGTGTCTGCCGCTTTAAAGTAGGTTTTGGCTGATTTTCACAGGAGGGCATTCATTCTTGGAAAAAAAGGTCAATATCTTGGAAACTGTTTCAAATTTCGGGTTAAAAGTAATGGGTTTGGGTGGAGGGCCTCCAAGCGGATCGGATGTGCAAAATAAACCGATTTCCGGAGCCATCTAAGGGGGAAAAGGCGCCCCAAAGACTTTGCCCACAAAAACCCCATCGGAAATATAACGAAGCGCGCTCATATGACGCGGAATACAACCCCGGACTTGGTATCAGGCTGAATATACGGGTGCTCCACAGGTGTTTTTTGGCCGAAACGAGCGAGGCGGTTCAAAGCAAACATTTGTCCAAATATAAATTAGAGCCCGACTGTATGGTAACGGCTCGGATGTTGTATCTTAGGACTGCTGATATTTGTACAGCCTGATTTCGTGGCTGCAATGTCAGTCACTCGCCTGGCCTGGCCAGATCGCTGTTTATCTGTCTAAAATTAGAAGAGATAGCGGCAAACTGTGCTTATAAATAGTTGTGTCAACATGCAAAAAGCGACTCCCTTCCGCAAAATGGGTATTATTCCAGTGTCTGGCCCGCCTCGGATAAACGCCGAGCAAATATGTGCCAAGAAACGATCAGCATCATTGAGGTGATATAGCTCAAGCGCAAAAAAACAAATTTTGTAGAGCTCTACCTACCTCCACACACCTATCGAATGGCAGATGTTCTGCCAAGTTATGGACTGGCGGCGGAAAAGCACACAATTAGGCGTGATCCATTGACAGCTGCTGGGTTAATTAGTGCGACATCGAGGTGTACGTTATCCTATACGAATCTGCCTGGCCTGCCCGAATGCACATTATTTGTTTTGAGTTTTTTTTTTGTTTTTTTTTTATTAATTGCCAGCCGGGTTGTTGGCTTCTGGTGCAGTGGCTGCCAGCCGCCTGCCGCCTGCCGCTGAACTTGAACTGACTTTATTCGCCAGACGCGAAATAAATTGTTTTCAGCAAGTGAGCTGCGCTTAAACGCTTTTTAAATACCTGTGGAGGTCAGTGGTAGACTCGAGAACAGGTTTCATTTTCGTCAGCGGTGCATAATTTGAATTTACATTTTCGGCCCCGTTTTCGTTTGTACTCGCCGATCTCGGCCCTGGTCTGGCAGTGCACCAGGATAATGGAGGCTTTTTTTGGAGAAAGGGAGAGCTCACTGGAGCTCACTATAGGGTAAGGGATAGGGTTCGGGTAGCTCCCCTTCGATGGAATATTATCTTGCCGAGATAATAGGCTCAAAGCTTAAACTCGTGGAAGACCCGAGGGCATATTACACCCTATACCCGTAATAAGATTATAAAATACGTCATTCCGATTATGATTTTAAATAGGATTTTTAGATATTCAGATTTGATGGATACTCGTGGCCGTCTAATAAGTGTGGCAGTGGGCAAGTGTCCACGCAAATCTCTACTCAGACGTCACGGCGCCGAAACTTAAAACGCAGATTCGGGTGCCGCCGAAGCCCTTTTCGGAATCTGTTCCGCGAAAACGGGGGTTTTTTTAAAATTGCTAATAAATAACCGGTTGGGCGCTACAAACGTCATAGATAGAAGACAACTAACTCTTCAACTTGGTCTCTGCTTTTTCAGATTCACCCAATTCCAACGACCGTGATGCGGGCTTTTGTTCCGCCAGTTCGGAGAGCGAAGGCGGCGACGATCTGGCCGTCGAGCACGCCGCCGAGCACGGCAGTGCCAGTGGCCGTCCCGCTCCCAACTCACTCGCACCGAAGGAAGCGCCGGAAGAGCTCGGATCGCCGGAGTGCAAGCCCATCGCCCTGATCCGCAACAAACGCAAGAGCTCGGAGCCCTCCAAAGTCGTCGGCACCAGCTCGGGGTCCGGAAGCCTGCCCTGCCCATGCCCTGGCAGCTATAGCATGAATGCCACGGGTCCGCTCAAGAAGCGCATCCGCTACACCTCGTCCGCCGACTCTGCCGTAGTACTCACCCCTCCGGCGGTGGACTCGCCGCCCCTGGTCCTACCGAGTGCCGCCTCCTCCATGCGCTTGCAGGAGCCCGTGGGTCCTGAGGCCATGCCGAATCCGGCGCACGTCTTTGTCCGCCATCCGGGAGTCACCACGTTGCACAGGCCGTTTGCCCCCCACCCGGAGCAGCTGGAGCCCCTGGCTCTGGTCACCAAAAGAAAGTCCTCCACCGCCACAGACAGCGATGTCAAGCCAGAGGCTGAGCTGAGTAGAAAGCCCCAAGCTCTGAAGAAATCGCTGCAGAAGAAGGTGCCAAAGGTAGCGGCTACCTTGCCCCTGCAAGACCTCAGCCTGAGCCTCAGCGACGAGGACAAGGGCCACGCACCGCACCAGCTCCCACAGCACCCCAGCCAGCACCAGCAGCGAAACTACAAGAACATGACCAGGGAGCGCCGCATCGAGGCCAATGCCCGGGAACGCACCCGCGTCCACACCATCTCCGCAGCATACGAGACCCTGCGCCGGGCAGTGCCCGCCTATGCCAGCTCCCAGAAGCTCTCGAAGCTCTCCGTTCTGCGGGTGGCCTGCTCCTACATCCTGACGCTGAGCCGGATGGCCGGAGAGGACTACAGCGCCGACCAGTCGGAGCCCTCGATCGCCGAGTGCATGGAGTCCGTGACGGCGACGATCCAAACGGAGGGCAAGGTGAAGCGCCGGAAGGACGAGTAAGAGGCGAACGAGTGCGTCCTGCAGCATTCCGGCCATAGGTCACAGGTGGCCAAATAGCTTTAAAAGTTTTCAAAGCTTTGTTCGTAGTTGTAGCAGCCGGATCCGGATTCGGATACGTTCGTTTTAAGAAACACCGAGGGGAAATCAATAACGCGCCATAAGCACTTTCGGTATGCCCAGTGTGAGCATACCGCATTGTACCATAAACATGGATATTTTTAGACCTATATTTAGCATAGAGTAGAGCTAGCAGCGATGTGATCCTAATTTAGAGTCGCTTTTACGGAAACTATGACAATAAGCCACTAAACTGTTGAAGGCAGTACAAAGTAGTCAGCACCAAAAGACAATAATCGTTACAATCTTAACTCGGACAATAAGGAGAGCGTCTTGATGTACATACTAGGGAGGTCTAGGCCTCAAGCTGAAGAGGAAGTCAGTCCACAGCCTCAACTATTTTTGCAGGGAGCTCGGAGCCTTACTCCGCCCCAACTACCATATATTCCTTAACGCCCCAAATTGTAATCTCATTGTTGTATGTAATACTGTAATCATAAGTGCCATAAGACCGGAAAATATACAAATCTGACTGTCTGTAAGAAGTGGAGTTTTCATTGATTTCGGAGTCGTGGATGGTTGGGTCGGGGATGACCCATTAGTCACCTGGGTGCGAGCGCACTGAGGAGAAAAGCAAATACCAGCAAAGGGGTGATTTATGTCTGTACGTTGAGTAATCTTATCGTTTTGCAACAAGCCATTTGGTGCTACATATAGTATATAAAAGCAAAGGCCCAACAGGTGCGCACAGAACGCCGGCGAACGATTGGAGATTCGAGACTCGAGCCTCGAGTACACCCGAACCCGAACTCGATCCCCAAATGGCTCCAAAACGCACAGCACTCGCAGTCCTTATCGGGTTCAGAAATAAGTTTGTTAGCTAATCTATCAGACCCACAGCGCCGATATCTCCCGATACAGCGGTGCAGGCGCACCCCGGCCATGACGTACCCGATCCTAGTGGATGTGGAACAGTTACCTATGCTAATGCCGGGGCTAAGGAGAATCATGCCGCTGCGCCTGCATTTAGTTGACCCAGTGCAATAGCCGGCTTAAATTACATCAGCCCGATTGGAACAGGTTAATTAGATCAGTTTCCGATCAGAACAGAACAGCGCATAAGATCAGAACGAACCCCCCAGCCTGGGCGTTATTCAACTCGAACCAGGTGGTTCGCAATATCGAATCCGAGTCCGAGACGTACTTGCATCAGCATATTTATGGCGATATAAAACGGTTGTTTATTCCATTCTAAGGTTGTTCTAAAGCGCGTCCAAATCGGCATCGGACTGCCTGTTTTTTTTTATAAATGGTATGGCATGGTAATGAGACAACGGAACGGAAAATATTAGCACAATTAAGTATTTTTGCCAATCACTCGGCAAATGACTCGGCACATACCTATCGTAGGTATAGCTATGACATCGAATAACATCAGGACTGGGATGCAACATGGTGCAGGGAACCTGTGCGCCCTATCATAGCCGGAATCTCAGAACGACAATGACTGGCACCTCCCAAATATTCTACCTTAATATATTAACTAACTTGTATTTCCAACAATGACTTTCGCCAATAACTTTGCATAACATAATCTGACGCAAATAAAACAAGGTATTGCAATCCAGCCAGATGGCAGCTCGGCTCTAAGCGGACCACTTTCCCACATGAACTTCTCAATGAATTAACATTATTGCTTACCAATGGGATGGGACTGCAACAAATGCGAATTACCATAACTTGTAGTGCCGGTAGGAGTGATACGTATTTTGTAGAGTCGGCAGATTTTGGAGGTTCGTTGAACTGGCGGCATTACAATCCCCAGAGCCAGATCGTGAACTGGGGGCATTTCGTAAGAGTTCTTCAGGAACCATGTGCTGCCCTCTATCTTTACCTCTGGCTCTGGTTGTGGAAAAAATTAATTTTTAAGGCAAAATAATGGAACCAATCATCAAAAGATCATCAAAAAAGTAATGAAATAAATTTCAAAAGCGCACTTTAAATGAGACAAAGCTAATTTATATTCCGACAGCGCAGTCCCTGCAGAGATTCATGGGATACGGCGAGAAGCGAATAAATGCCGACTGTGGCCAGGAACTGCCGCGCAGTCCTCTGATATTAATAAGACTTATTCTCACATTAAAAGGCCGGCTTTCTTCTCGGCTTCGTTTCTCGAAGACAATGCCAAAGTCGGCCTCTACCTGGTCCACACTCGAAAAAAGAGTCGAACTGAGTCGGCCTCGAAATGATACAGTTTCTGCACCACCAAAGGATCTGGAGTTCTGGCCCCTCTTTCAGATTATTCTTTGAGTGCACCTGCAGAACCATTAGAGAAGGGGACATCTACGGGCACCTGGCGAGGGCGTTCTTGGAGTCATGGAGCGGCGTCGTCAACCGGCAAAAATTAGCATTTGTGTAAACAATTGAAACAGAAAATAAACTACGGCACTCGGCCTCCGCCGGTGCATCACATGTCGTGACGAGATGTTGTTTTAGTGGTAGCTGGCTGAGAAATTGTTGCGCAAATATTGGCTTTAATGTCGCCTAAAAATACCCCGCAACTGTAGTTGCAGCTTTAAGTTGTAGCAGACGTCAAATATTGTCGCACCTGTCACAGGTGTGGCCTGGCCTGGCCTGGCCTGGCCAGCGAGCGTCTATTTCGGGGCGCACTTGCGCGTGTGCCGCTCGCTGTTCGCCGTTCGCCATTCGCCGATGTCTGTTTGGAAAAATAAATCTAATTTGAAATCGAGTCGGTGGTGCGAGGGAGGAACTGCGCTCCGACTTGGCATCACATCACATGCTGGCCGGGATCGGATGGGTCGGCGTGATCTTTCCATTTAGTATGCGTAAAAATTAACACTGCCGCTGGCTGGACTACTTTGATAATTAACCAAAAATTTACTACTCGTTATAAAGGTAAGGTTAAAAATAGACGCCGGCTGGCTTATTGTTTACATGCTAAACTGCCTGTTGTTGGGTTTTTTTTTTGTGGAATATGGCTATTTTAAGCTCGGCCATGATGGGAGTAGCGTTAGGCTGTTTCTTCTCTAATATTGTTACGATCTTTGTTGACTTAAGCTAGCTTATGTATCAGGTCCTGGTACTCTACACAGATGGTCATCATAGTATGTCTCAAGAGTCCATAGCTATGTGACCTTTTTAATAAAAATCTCCGTAGCAGTATCAGGAAGAGATAAAAAGCCAACAAATATCAAGTCACAGGGCTTGTAAAGTGATTTCTGGCCCGTGCGGATAATTTTAGGAGGGCGATTTCCGAGAATATTTGTACAGCTGGCGTCACTCAGATACAAATGCAAATGCGAATACGAATGCTTATTTTTCAGCGCCGAAAGTGGCGGGGAGTGGGTCGGGAAGGTGGGTAGGAGGGCCACAGCACTGTGTGTTCCTTGAGGCACACACGCGGACACACAACTCGTTGGCGCCTCGATTGCAAGGCGCAAGTGACAATTTTTAAATAAAACCAGACTGGCGGTGCACTGCCACTGCCACAGCGCTGCATGCAGTTGACCAGGCTGCAGATATATAGCAAAAAAAATATAAAAAAATAAAGGAGGAAAGCTATTAGGCGACGCGGCGCGACGGCCACTCTTCATTGCATGCCAAATGTTTGTCTAGCAATTGTCGCGTAAAATATTCGAAATAAACTATTTGGCCAGCCTCTGGGGCAGATGCTCGGCCATCTAGATTGCTTTGGGCCTCCTAATGTGGCTAGAACCTGGCCGAGCAGGTCGAAGGCCCGAACAACCCGATTATGACCCATTTTGCGCCGCGACTACACAGTACGCCGCCTACTTACGGGGGCCTGTGGTGGCCAATTAGCACGTAATTTGCAATAATTTCAGTACAGCCGCGACTTTTTGTTGCTATTTGTGTGCGTAATTGACGTGGCAGACAGGAATTTAAATCGACAGCCTAGGCGGTGCGGTGCGCAGACGCGAGCTAGGCGCTCGCCGGCGTCAGTCGATCTTGGCATGCGTAAGTGTCACCTGGCGCCAATGATTCGCGATGCAGTCGATCATTCGAATCCGTCTAACCAGTCAGCCAGTCAGTACTTCCCAGACACCCCCGACGAAAGAACCGTTCACCGGTTACTCCCTGATACCTATTTCGGAGGAATTGGTCGAGATCCGCACGAAACAGATACGTTTAAAAGGAGGACTGGAGGTTCGGCCTACTGGTTGGCTTTTAATAACAGAACCCTTCTCTCTTCTACCTTTCCTTCGGAATCATTTAAAGGCAAAATTTAAAGCCAATCGTGGGGGCGTACTCCATTGCAATTTCGTCCAGACCGAACAACGGAGGTCCTTTCCACATTCTCCACTCGCTTGCGTGAGAGAATCTGAAATCATTTCGCAGCCTTGTCTACATATCTTCGAAATTAGTTTAATAACACTTGGGCACGCAATAATCAGGGACGAGTGCTCCACAGCATCAACTTTCTCAGGACGAATGCAGGTTATTAATATTCAGATTCTTAAATAAAATTCCTCAATTTATAAGACCTCTTATAAGCTAACGATAGCTTAGTCATTATGTATCTTTGTATAATATCTGATTCTGCATCTGATTCGGAATTATCTTGCAGTTAAGATTAGAACTAATTTGATCCATTTATTCCCTATTTAAATGTGGGATGTATGATATGGTTAAGCCACATCCTTCCTTCCTTCATAATTCCTCTCTAGATAACGTTAGTGCGGCAACACCTGTACCTGTCCAGACGTTAAATGACCAGCGTTAGTACATCCAAGAGGGGTCTCGAAACGGCCACCCCCCCCGGGGCCTATAGTTATCTTGTATGAGGGTAATACTAGGGTGACGATTACCTTATCCTTGCTGACTATTTGAAGTGCAACTCAGCCCCAGCTGCTCAATGGTGTTGCATATGTGCTTGTCCCCAATGGCAGTCCTAAAAAGTGTAAATCCGAGCATAGTGTGGGTTGACTTGCACCCCAGTATTTGTCCAACTAAATTTACACATCTCTGGCGGTACCATCTGCGACCAACTCCACTCCCACTCCCACTCCGCACCCTGGCCATCCAAGTCCCAGCCTGAACATGCGCACTTTGTTGGCGCCATCGTGTCCTCACGTCTACGCAATCAGTCCTACTGGTGCTGGATGTGGAACTGGAGCCTGGACTTGCTCATCATCCCACTCCGGCGTCTGTCGACTGTTCTTGCCAAATGTGCCACATTGAGGATGACATATGTAGATGGCCAGACCTTCGGAGGCACATATGTATGTAGATTTGTGCGTAATGCTCCCTTTTCCCCCCAGAGGTTACGCCAAGAGGTTCGAAGAGACAATCGCTTTAAAGTGGATAGATTCTGTTGCCCTCGAGGATGGCCGCAATCCTGCTAACTAGACTGGATTGCTCTAACCAAGAGTTACATACGCTATGGGATTGACCTAGAATTAGTAGAGTACTCAGGTATATGGATATTAGGTCCAATTTCTAACACATGTATCTTAGTTTTCATGAACCACCACATAGTCTTGCATGCCAGAAGAACCAGCAGCTTGCCAGTGGCGGCTCGCAATTAAACGAGTGGAATTTTTGTCCTCCACTGGGCACCGAAAAATAAGCCCTTTCTCAAAAAAGGCAAAAAGCGAGTAGCAGCAAAACAGACGTCGCCGGCTGCTGGTGGCTGGAGACTGTCGGTCTGAGGGGTCGGATGGGGAGGATTGGGACAAAGGACGGAGGACTGAGGACGGCTGACGGCAGACGACAAACGGAGGAGGGCGGAGCAGGGTGCCTGGCGACGGCATCACCGAAAAAGGATGCGAGCGAACGATGTGCCCAACTACCATATAAAAATATGCAATCAAACGAGTGTAAGATTGATCTCGGGCGATATTCTGGGAACTGAAGAGCGCTGCTCCAGTCTGATCGCTTCGGTCCCTTAGTTGGAGCGGCACACTCGCCGTGGCATAAATACAGCATGTTTAAGGCAGGATCCGCCGCCAGTGGCCAAATATTGTTGCCTTGTGGGGATTTATCGTTGCCGGCAATGGGCAAGGACACAGGCCGTTAAAATACATAATTTTTGGTAGCAGGATCACTCAGACAGAGCTCTCTCTCCTACAATTACGGCAGCCGCTTAAAGTGTCCTTGCTGGTGTCACTTCCCCGGCACGTAATTGATTCTGACAGTGCTTTAAACGGAGTCGCATTAACACAGGAGGCCGGATTCCACGGGATTAGCACATGCACATGATAATACACAATGCCCCGGCGGCGGATGGTTGGCAAAAAGTGATTGATTCCGCGGACTTTTTGCCACGAATGGCAGTCCAAGTGCAGATACAGCTCGGCCTGTCCACGCACCAATTTTTCGTTAACTTCGTTTTGGCAACGGCCTGGCATGGCATGGCCGGGACGGGACGAATGCGTGAGTGCGGCGAAACGGGTTGCATTCCGTTGACCATTTCAAACAATCGGCAGTGGCAGTGGCAGCTGCTGCTGTGGCTGTGGCAAGAGACTCCGCGAGGGGGCGGCTGAGGCGACTGAGGACAAAACCTCAATTGAGGTTTAATTTAGAATGTACCCAGTGCCTCCGGACGGCGGACTGGGGACTGGGGACTGAGGAGGCATTGATTGCGAAGTGGGCTGTGTTCTGTGTGACATGGGCACACAGTCGGAATATTGATAAGGCTCTCTGCTCAGCTTTGCGCCTGGCCGGCTAATCGGCGGAGGCTGTCGAGGACGACATGTTGTAAATTGGTGCGAATGCATTTGTTACCATTTTACTTGGAAGCCCGACTCCGCAGCCCAATTTCATCCAATGTGTTTTTTGGCCGAAAACTGTCAATTGGCCTGAGAACGTTGCGGCTTTAATTACAAACCATGAGCCCCCGAACTTACAAGCCCAGAAGCGGAACCAGAACTGATCTCCCAGAGACCGGAGGGCGAACAACTAATAACATAATCGTGGCTGACAAATTGCGCGAAATACCATCGGATCAGTGGGATTCCATGGCCAAGGTAGCCAAGTGACGTGCAAAATATGATATTAATAAATAACATATCTCGGCAGCTGGAAAGCCCGAGATAATTACCACACGCATGATGCGACGACAACCAGTCAGGACCGCTGCTGAAGAATTCGAGATCCTCGCTCCAGGACCAGGTCCAAATGATTTTTCGGGCCAATCACTGCCTCCCCTGTTCGCATAATTAATTTTTATTTTGATTAATTACGGAGGGGACAACTCCACTTCGAGAGTGGCTCGTTGAAATTTCTGCACGCAATTTGCTCGAATTTGAGAGGCCATCAGTTTAAAATTACTCGAGCGTCCCCGTAATAGCCTTTGGTGGACATTTTGGAGGGGCTCTGATTTTGGGTAGACCTAAATTTCATGAACTCCGAGTAATCGAGCTGCGTAATTAGTTGGAGGAGCTCCATCCCCTGACTCGATCTTGAGGTATAGATCACCTTGGCCAAAGACCTGGCTGGGCTGCTATTGCTTCTAAAAGACAAATATAGGTAGTGAGGCATCTAAAATGAGGCCCAAATCTGGAGGCATCAGTAGACAATCAGTAATCCACTTCATTAGCAAAATGGTCCAGGCATGCGTGACACGTACGGAGTTGAGCCATAAATAATATTTTTTCCTGGCAGACGCGGCTGGTACTTCCTTTGGAGGGCCTTGGGAAATATTTGCTGGCCGACGTTTTCGGGCCGGGCTTACTCGCGTTTCGACGTTTTCTCCCTTTTTTTTGCCGGCCATGGCAAAACAATGTCAACTGTCTTAAGAAACACATGTAGACATAAACGTCAATTCGCGACAGCAGCAGTTGCCCAGTTGCGGCGCTGCAATGCGCTTGTGTCCTTAATCGATTATCATTTTTAATAATCAATTTCCGAGTCCCTACCGCCGGCAGCCGGCCTGCTACTGCTAGGAGATGGAGCGTACCCTGGTCCGCGCTCCTTATGGGCAGATGCCCAGTTGACAACGACGGCACATTGACATTTATGAGCCGGGTAGCCGGCCGAAGCAGTCGCTATTTTAATTGCAGAGTATGTGGCGGGCAAGATGAAATCATAAATCTAGCCTCGCAGTGAGTGGCAGGAGTTGGATCCCGAGATAGGCTGCCAATAAGAGGACGAATGTATAAATTTGTACAACATGCCTTTCAACAGGTTGCTCCCCGACTCGAAAGCCCGCTGCATTAATTCAAGAACCACTCGAATAAAATTATAAAAGACCAAATTTCATTGTTCTCTCTTCAATTTCGATTGAGCTACAGGAAAAATTACAGGACTCGGACTGGGTGGCAAATTTGAACTCCACAGAGAGGAAACATCGAGCAGACAGACCTGGTTCACTTGGTTAATTTAGTTTTCCTCCACGTCGTGAAAGTGCGTCCCATGAGCGATCCGCCTGCAAAGAGGGCGAGGAGTGAGTAAAAGGATTACAAGAACTCTATGTAAGGGGTTACTGCGTAGAGGATTGGAGGTCTCCATGAAGACCTCCCATAACTTTATGTCGCCGCGAATGTTGATGATGTTGACCCGCTCGGGACGCATCTGGTACTTGAACTGCAAGAGGGACTTGTTATTGACGAACAACTCGTAGTACTGCTTCCGACATGCGATGAGGATGACGAAGGCGCTGCCCGGCCGGAGGGAGGTGTTCAGCCGGGAGATGTGGGTGTTCACCCACTCTCCCTTCACATAGGCGCTGCGCGTGATTATGGCCTTGCCGATCTTGTCGCGCCTGCCCTGAAGGAAGCACTGGCTGAAGTAGAAGGATACCGTAGGCTGAGGCCAGATCTCCTGGCCAATCTGGAGGGCGAAGCTGAATTTCTGGGGCATCAGACGCACTCGGCCCTCGATGCGCAGGGCGCGCCCCTCAATGAGGTTCTCCGACTCGGGAATGGTGCCGTAGAAGGGAAGCGCGATGCTGGGCTGGGAGACGAACTCGGGCGAGGACATCATCATCAGCGAAGACAGGACCCGCCACTCGCTCTTCGGATTGCGTGGGGCGCCGGGTGCCACCGTTGCAACGTTTTCCTCGTAATGAAGCGGTATTATCACCGGCAACGAGTGCTGCAGCCGGACAGGATACTCGGACACGTAGAAGGAGTCCACGGCAATGTCGGTGACGTCGCCCCGCACGTCCACTGCCTCCAGCCACTTGTAGGGCATTCGGTGTGCGTAGGCCGCGAAGTGATAGCCGTTCACGGAAATGAGAAAGCACTCCTCGGTGATCAGGATCTGCATCCAGAAGGACTTGCCGCGGGACAATTGGAAGCTGAGGTTAGAGGCCCGCTCCATGGGGCCCCACAGGCCCCTTAGGCGGGAGTTTCGCGTAAGATAGTTCTGGGGCAGACGTGCTCCTATCCGAAGCACCACGTTACAGTTGTCGCAGACCTCGTAGCCCGCCTCGGTCATGAAGTCGATGAGGAAGTGCTCGCACCCGGGGAGACACATTCCGTGGAAGACGAAGCATAGTCCTGGCTGCGGGATCTCGGTCACCAAGTAGAGCTTTCGGCGGTGGACAGTAGATCGCTTCTCGTAAAACTCGGTGATCGCGTCCATCCTCCGCCTCCTCACTACGTGAGTCGCCCTCGGATAAACACTCATCGCCTGGCCCCCCATCTTCTGCGTCTACGCATATTAAAGATCCTGCTGGCGCTCCACTTGTTGTCTTCTTGTAAAAAAGGATCGGCTGTGGTATTAAAATACTACGAAAAAATGACATTTGCTGGGCGGCACTTTTTGATTGTTTAGCATTTGACATAAAAAAAACAGTCGTGCCCAGCGTTTTTTAAACGAGAAATTGATTTTTGATTTTTTTTTATATATCGGGTAATTTTTGTTCCAGTTCTTCTTGTTCCTATTTCTCAGTACGTTTTTCGATACAATTTTTGACGATAAAATTTTGACGTGCAGAAAGTCGGACGTTTCGGAAGGACGGCGTTTTTTCCCGCGGTTCGATTCGAACCAAAAAAAAAGTCGCTGCTAAAAAACGCACGCGACTTTCTGCACCATGTGTGTTGAAAAACGTCAAAAAGTGAAATTTACACGCGAAATTCTCAACACTGGCGCTTGTCAAACAAAAATGTTGTTAATATTTTAACCAACATATTGCCAGCAACAAAAATGTTTCAACATTTTAAGCAACATGTTGCCGCAACATATTGAGTTTGAGTGAAAAAAAAATCTCAAAGGCCCTTTGAGTTAAAAAAAAAATCTCAAAGGCCCTTTGAGTGAAAAAAAAACTTTTTCAAAAAAAAAAGCGCCATCTGTCTAAAAAAGTTGAAAACTTAGTTTGTTATTCGAACCCACAGATGGCGCAATTCCCACATTCCTGGGAACGAACTAAATTTTTAGCACCATCTGTCTAAAAAAGTTGAAAACTTTTTCCTGGGAACTTTCTCACAAATATTTCAATATTCTTAGCCCAAACAATTACACTTTTCCAACAACAGCTTTTTTTTAATGGCATCCCCATTAAATGGCATCATAGCCATTCCTTTATTGCACTACGTCTTCAATCTGCTGGAGGCAACTTGTTGAAATTTTAAAAAATGTATATTTTGATTTTCATACTTACGAAATAATTTATCCAACAACTCCTCCGTTAAGAAAATTATCGATGGTGAAGGTGGACAATTCCAAGGATAAGTTAGGAGACAATTGTCAGAGAGGATTTAAAATTTATCAAGCTCTCGATTTTCTTCAGACTTCGACTGGCACAAGAACAGGACCACGGTGGCCGGAATGGTGCCAAGCTGGACATGAGCGGTTACCAGGATTCTCATTTAGCCAGCCAACAGAATTTTACCAACTTGGGCGTTAAAAGTTATTTATTTTTTTGTGTTTTTTTTTCAAACTTCTTCGAATGGTATTTTTTGGTCACAATTCAAATTTGCCCGCTCAAGCTCAAAAGCTTTCAAATTAAAACTGCAGATGGCGCCTCAAAAGTTTCGCAGGAACATTTTGTTATTTTAGTTTGTTATTCGAACCCACAGATGGCGCAATCGTCGCGGTGCGTTCTCCATCTGCCGTCATCTTCTCAATAGGTGGCGGCACACACAAAACCCACAAAGGCTCTAAAATATATTTCTCTTGCCGCCGAAAATACTACTAAATTTAAATTAAATATTTGGTCATACAACGCAAAGAGCTATTTTAGCTGATATAGATAAACAGACCTCAACAATACCTGAGAACCGAAGGCAGGGAATATTAAAAACCCTTAAATATATTATCGGCGATTCAGAAAAGTAAAGATGACCCATGACACTTGTGATAATACACTCTGCAAAATATTCATATATATATATGTATAAAAATATGTAATTTTGGTCAAAAGTATGCAACGCTCTTAAGGATAAATCTCCGACTCTCCAAGTATATACATTGGAGTCTGAACGATCGGAAATTACCTAGCTTTGCTGTTTTCGATGATAGAATCTGGGGTCTTTTTTTAATTTAGAATTCTAAGCAATTGGTTTTTTAGTGAAATTTTAATATCGATCGGCCACTACACATATCCGATATTTGTGATATATAACCGATCTTAACTGCGAAGGTATAGCAACTTCGGCTATTTTATTGTCTATACAAAGCCTCTTTCAGCCTGATAAGAAAGCAACAGATATTAAGGCAGCCGGAAATTCAGGTGAAAAGCACGATTCTTGTTTTGCTCCAAAAAACGCATGGGGACAGCGTATAAAAAAAAAATAAAAATGTATGTATGTTTGGGAGATCGCCTCTCTCTCTCTCTCATTTCGAGGGTTGTCAGAGCACCGGACGGGTTGGGAAGCATCAAGTGGCTGCCGGATGAATGACCGCCTGACAACCCTGGTCGAGCGTTCCACGGATGGGTGGCATTCCAAGCATAACAATGCCGTCTGCTTTTTACGCTGCTTGCCTGTTCGGGCAACTGTGTGAAATTTCATGCAACGCGCTTCTCGCAAATTTCGAATTCCCCGCATATTTCTGTGGCGTGCCACTGGCCTTTGTGTGTTCCTCTCACGGTATGTGTATTCCTCTTTACCCGCTTCCTTGGGCGTCGGAGAGAGACATCGTGATGGGTAGGGTGGTTGACTTAATGGCGATAATACGAAAGCCCAGTCCATATAGTCCGCCCGCGGAAGGGGGTGTTAGTAAAGTGATAAGAACTTTATCAACAAGAGTTTTTGAACATTTATGGTCGAACATTGTTTTAGGCGAATCATGCTTCGACAAAATCAATTTTAGACAAAATATAACTGATAAATGTTAAGACTCATCCCCAATTGGACTCATTTGAAATAGAACTATTTAATTTCTAACTAAAAATAATTGTTAACATTATATAAAAACTTTTTAAATTTTTGTTAAATTTATTATATTTTTATGTGCAAAAAACATTTATCACAGACATATACATACATAAATAATATAAATTTATAAAAAATTTAAAAAAGTTTTAAAAATAAACATTTTTTGCGATAGGCCCAAATAGAATCTTACTCTCTTTCTTACGCTCATATTAAATATTTATTTATTTATTGGATTATTATTTATATACAACTTTTTATTAATTCAGCATATATTTTATATTTGCTTAGGAATACGATTAAGAGGCTGATGTAGCATGTTTTGCATAAATATAATATATGTTTGCAAATGCGTAAATATTAATTTACGGTAACGTTTTTCATGGTTTGCTGTACGAAATAAGTAGTATTAGAAGACCATATGTTGCATGGTTAGTGGCTATAGTTTATAGTTTGAAAAATCGTATATTATATTTTCTTATGTATTTTTTGAAAAAAATGTTTGAAACAAATTTTATTGAAAGAAAAAAATGTTTTTTTTTTATTTCTGTTACAAAACACTTTCGTTTTTTAAAATTATTTTTCTTGATTATAACGGCACGGGGGTTAGGAAGGAGCGCATTGCTGGTCGCAAAGCTCTCTGATGGCTCCTAGGCGTGAAACCTTATAATATGCTACGATGCTCCAGGTCATCGGTGTTTTCCCACCTCTAATGTGCTCCCACCATCTTTATCGATAGTGAACACCCTGTAGCTGTTCATAAAAGCCCTGGCGGCACTCCAGTGGAGTGCGTGGAAGGGTGTGGTCACTCCAGTGGAGTGCGTGGAAGGCTACGGTTGTACGGGCGCTAAATTTTGTTTTCCTAGTTGTACAATCCAATTTATAGTTGATATTTTGGGTATTCCGATGTTGGGTGTGGTCACTCCAGTGGAGTACGGGCGCTACATTTTGTGGCGCTTTTTGGACAACCCAATTTATAGATGATATTTTGCGTACTCTGATTTTGGTGTTCCCGTTGTGTTTGCACTACCACCCGTGATGCCCACATAGGGACACAGGTAGCTGAGGTGTTTTTTTTGTTTATGGCAAATGAGGATATTCTCCTCACAATTCTTCTTTGATCGAAATATTTTAAAACACCAATGAAATCGATCGCGTCATGAATCGAACAAAAATATTAGAACCAAACAAAAAATTGAAACTTAAAATTTTTAAATAAAAAACAAGAAAGGAAATCTAACTTCGGGCGGAGCCGAAGTTTATATACCCTTGCAGTTAAAACCGGATATATATCGCAAACATCGGATATAGTTGGCCGATCCTTATGATTACATCCTAATAAAAACAAATAATTACAATAAAAAATCTAAAAAAAAGTTCCAAGCTTCTATCTTCAAAAATACGAAAGTTGATATTCCTACCAAATACCATTTCCGATCGTTCAGTTACATGGCAGCTATAGGATATAGTCGGCCGATCCCAATGAAATTTCGTAGATCGGATTAACTGACCAAAAATATAATCTGTACCAAGTTCCAGCTTTCTATCTTCAAAAACACGAAAGTTGGGTCATTTCCGATCGTTCAGTTATATGGCAGCTATAGGATATAGTCGGCCGATCCTTATGAAATTTGGCATGACGTAATGTTTTGCCAAAAATAGCTCTCATGTCAAATTGGAACTCTCTAACTCTAAAAACACAAAAGTTATACCATTTCCGATCAATCAGTTATATGGCAGCTATAGGATATAGTCGGCCGATCCGGGCCGTTCCGACTTATATACTGCGTGCAAAGGAAAGAAGGGTGTGTGCAAAGTTTCAAGACGATAGCTTTAAAACTGAGAGACTAGTTCGCGTAGAAACAGACAGACAGACGGACAGACGGACAGACGGACATGCTCATATCAACTCAGGAGGTGATCCTGATCAAGAATATATATACTTTATAGGGTCGGAGATGTCTCCTTCACTGCGTTGCACACTTTTGACCAAAATTATAATACCCTCTGCAAGGGTATAATAACTAGAAATAGTTTTTGAGTTCAAAATTTTGGTTTGACGAGCGCCAGTGTTGAGCAATTTCGCGCGGATAATCCATTTTTTAACGTTTTTCAACACACAAGGTGCAGAAAGTCGCGTGCGTTTTTTAGCAGCGACTTTTTTTTTGGTTCGAATCGAACCGCGGGAAAAAACGAGCGGACTTTCTGCACGTCAAAATTTTATCGTCAAAAATTTTATCGAAAAACGTCAAAAATTCATCAAACTGAGAAATAAGAACAAGAAGAACCATGTGCTTTCACCACATTCTAATATCCCTTTATTCTTTTTTTCAGTTCTATGGCTCTGGTTCCCAACTTCATCTGAAAAAGAACCACAAAAGAAAATACCCAAAATTTATACTTTGTTATAAATAAGAATTTTATAATAAAATTTAATAAATTAATAACTTTATTTTTACGTTTTCATGTTAGCACCAAATTGTTCTTGGGAAAAATTGGAATGTGTGGGGGATGATGGGCTGGAAATTGCTGCATTTTGCAGCGCGTCCCACTCCTTCCACAATTGTTTCATTTTGGAGCCCGGGGCATACTTTTCCCCAATCACACCCTTGCAATTATATTTTACATGCTGGGAGAATCTTGTTGTTTTTTTGCTGTGAGGGCACCACTCGCAGTGGTGCATCTTAGGATCTTTCAAACACCCTAGGAAGTGGCTATTAAGGGATCTAAAGCCCCTGAATAATTCAAAACAATATGGGCATTCTTTACCACTTGTCGTCCATATTGTGCCACTCGCATCTTTGTGCCAGGTGGGCACGGTGGGATTTGTTAAGTTTAAATTGAGCTCCTGAGCGTAGCTCACGTCCATCACGAGCGGCGTCTTCGGCGCGTCCATCGGCCGCGGCGGCTCCACCGTCATGGGCGGCATCTTCGGCGTGTCTACCGGCCGCGGCGGCTCCACCGTCATGGGCGGCGGCTCCACCACATCGTCCTCCTCGTCAATTAATTCCTAATACGGAATTCATTAATTAATTCCTAATATGGATATCCACCTCACAAATCTTTGATCGAAATATTTTAAAACACCAATGGCATGGACGGGCATGGATCGATTTCCCGCGTGATGCTCTCAATGCTGTGAGAAGCGTGTTGTTTTTTTTCTGAGAAGGCACCACTCGCAGTGGTGCACCTTAGCCTCTTTTAAACAGCCGAGGAAGTGGCGATTAAGGGCAAAGAGTGCGTGGAAGGCTACGGTTACGCCCGGCTACGCCCTTAGCCTTAGGTGCACCTTAGCCTCTTTTAAACAGCCGAGGAAGTGGCGATTAAGGGCAAAGAGTGCGTGGAAGGCTACGGTTACGCCAGGCTACGCCCGTACGGCGCTACATTTTTTGGCGCAATCCAATTTATTTGGACAATCCAATTTATTATTGATATTTTAGGTATTCTGATGTTTGGTTCAATAAGTTCTTCACAATCGCGGTTGCCACTTTAAAATTTATAAAGAGCCCAAAAAAGACTGAGCCAATTTTATTAAAAAAAGCCAAATTTTAATTTATTAATTTTGACTTTTTTTTTATCCAAAAAAAAATTTAAGACACTAAAAAAAAATTTACCGTTAAAATTTTATCATTACAAATTAAAAAAAAAAAAAACATGGTGGTGATGTTGGTTGTGTGGGTGGTGGGGTGAAAAATACTGGTGCTGTTGGTGGTGGTGCTGTTGGTTGTGTTGCTATTGGTTGTGTTGCTGGTCGTTTTGGTTCTATTGTTTGTAGTGCTGTTGGTTGTGGTGCTGGTCGTTTTGGTGGTGCTGGTGCTATTGTTTGTGGTGCTGGGAGTTGTGTTGCTGGGGGTTGTGCTGGTGCTGTTGTTTGTGTGGCTATTGGTTGTGTTGCTGGTCGTTTTGGTGCTATTGTTTGTAGTGCTGTTGGTTGTGGTGCTGGTCGTTTTGGTGGTGCTGGTGCTATTGTTTGTGGTGCTGGGAGTTGTGTTGCTGGGGGTTGTGTTGCTGGTGGGGTGAAATATAGTGGTGCTATTGTTTGTGGTGCTGGTGCTGTTGTTTGTGTTGCTATTGGTTGTGTTGCTAGTGGGGTGAAATATAGTGTTGGTTGTGTTGCTAGTGGTTGTGGTGCTGGTGGTGCTGGTTGTGGTAGGGGATGTGGTGCTGGTGGTGCTGGTTGTGGTAGGGGATGTGGTGGTGGTGCTGTTGTTTCTTGGTTTATTGGTTGTGTTCCTGGGTAGTTAATGGTGGTGTTGCAAACCTACGAACATAAGAAAAAAAATATACATCTTTCGGCCACTTTTGATGAAAACTGTAATGGGGCCGTCCATATATTGCGTGACGCGCCTGGGGGGGGAGGGGTCCGGGTTAACGTCACGGTTTGTGGTCACGGGGGTCTAACCTCGTGTCATGGTTTGTCACGCAGGGGGGGGAGGGGGTCAAAAAAGTCTGAAATTCGCGTCACGCAATATATGGACGGCCCCAATACCCCAGCAAGGGTATTAAATACTTCAGTACTTACCGTACAATTATAATTATAATTATTAAACATTGTCTCTTTTTAAATATTTTTAAATATTTTACGCCTGTTTGTTGACACTCGCTTTTTGTTTAGAATAATTGGCAACGCTTTAAAATATGGCGTCCCATATTTCTCCCATCCCTATCACCACATGTTTTTTGCACTGTTTATTTCATCATGGAATATTGGAAGGAATTACAAATTATAACAGATTTAAAACTTCCAGAATCATTTCTGGAATTTTTAAAAAATCGAAAAGTAACTCTCCAAAATGGATTTTCCATTTTTTCCAGCAATTTGCGATTCCTATTGGTTGAAGAACCATATTTATTTATTTATTGTATTATTATTTATATACAACTTCTTATTGATTCAGCATATATTTTTTATTTGTTTAGGAATACAATTAAGAGGCGAGTGTGTAAATATTAATATACGGTAACGTTGCTCTTTATGGTTTGCGTCCATTTTGTTGTATGAAATAAGTAGTACTAGAAGACCATATGTTGCATGGTTAGTGGCTATAGTTTATAGTTTGAAAAATCGTATATTATATTTTCTTATGTATTTTTTGAAAAAAATGTTTGAAACAAATTTTATTGAAAGAAAAAAATGTTTTTTTTTTTATTTCTGTTACAAAACACTTTCGTTTTTTAAAATTATTTTTCTTGATTATAACGGCACGGGGGTTAGGAAGGAGCGCATTGCTGGTCGCAAAGCTCTCTGATGGCTCCTAGGCGTGAAACCTTATAATATGCTACGATGCTCCAGGTCATCGGTGTTTTCCCACCTCTAATGTGCTCCCACCATCTTTATCGATAGTGAACACCCTGTAGCTGTTCATAAAAGCCCTGGCGGCACTCCAGTGAAGTGCGTGGAAGGGTGTGGTCACTCCAGTGGAGTGCGTGGAAGGCTACGGTTGTACGGGCGCTAAATTTTGTTTTCCTAGTTGTACAATCCAATTTATAGTTGATATTTTGGGTATTCCGATGTTGGGTGTGGTCACTCCAATGGAGTACGGGCGCTACATTTTGTGGCGCTTTTTGGACAACCCAATTTATAGTTGATATTTGGCGTATTCTGATTTTGGTGTTCCCGTTGTGTTTTCACTACCACCCGTGATGCCCACGGGTATTATCCTATATATTTTTTCAATTAATTACTAAAAATAAATTAAATTCTATTATTAAAACTATTACTATTCTAAATTAAATCTAATTAAAATTGGGATGGGAATAGGAACTATTAGGAGTAGGAGGATTGGGAGGAGGATTGGGGAGAGGATTGGGGGGAGGATTGGGGGGGGATTGGTGGGGGGACGATTGATTTGCCCATCCCACCGGGCCCACAACTCCCTCATCTTGGGCCCGGGCACGTAAGGCCTACCCACCGTGCCGCAACATTTCTTATGTTTGAAATGCATAGAAAAGTTTCCGTTGACCTTTGTTAAGGGGCACCATTGGCAATGGAAGCCCTTCGCCTCATCGAGGCACCCTTCGAAATGCCGCTTAAGCTGCCTGACACTTTTAAATTCCCTGAAGCAGTAGGGACATTGCTTATGTTTATTTGTCCAAACGCCCCCTTGCCCGTCGAAGTGCCACGTCGGCATGTCGGCACCGCTGAGATTGAAATGAAGCTCTTGAGCGGGCACTAGTAACATCAACGGGCGCGGGGCGTCATTACTGTCGGAAGCGTAAAAATAATAAGGAAGCGTAAAAAAAAATAAGCGTAAAAATAAATTAAATATAAATTAAATTCTATTACTAAAACTATTACTATTCTAAATTAAATCTAATTAAAATTGGGATGGGAATAGGAACTATTAGGAGTAGGAGGATTGGGGGAGAGGATTGGGGAGAGGATTGGGGGGACGATTAATTAGCCCATCCCACCGGGCCCACAACTCCCTCATCTTGGGCCCGGGGACATAAGGCCTACCCACCCTGCCGCAACATTTCTTATATTTCATATGCATCGCGAAATTTGCGTTGGGCTTGGTTAAGGGGCACCACTGGCAATGGTACCCCTTCCCCTCTTCGAGGCACCCTTCAAAATGCTGCTTAAGGGCTTTGACGGTCTTAAACTCCCTGAAGCAGTACGGACATTGCTTCTCTTTGCTCGTCCAAACGCCCCCTTGCCCGTCGAAGTGCCACGTCGGCATGTCGGCACCGCTGAGATTGAAATGAAGCTCCCGAGCAGCGGGCACTAGTAACATCAACGGGCGCGGGGGCGTCATTACTGTCGGAAGCGTAAAAATAATAAGGAAGCGTAAAAAAAAATAAGCGTAAAAATAAATTAAATATAAATTAAATTCTATTACTAAAACTATTACTATTCTAAATTAAATCTAATTAAAATTGGGATGGGAATAGGAACTATTAGGAGTAGGAGGATTGGGGAGAGGATTGGGGGGACGATTAATTAGCCCATCCCACCGGGCCCACAACTCCCTCATCTTGGGCCCGGGGACATAAGGCCTACCCACCCTGCCGCAACATTTCTTATGTTTGAAATGCATAGAAAAGTTTCCGTTGACCTTTGTTAAGGGGCACCATTGGCAATGGAAGCCCTTCGCCTCATCGAGGCACCCTTCGAAATGCCGCTTAAGCTGCCTGACACTTTTAAATTCCCTGAAGCAGTAGGGACATTGCTTATGTTTATTTGTCCAAACGCCCCCTTGCCCGTCGAAGTGCCACGTCGGCATGTCGGCACCGCTGAGATTGAAATGAAGCTCTTGAGCGGGCACTAGTAACATCAACGGGCGCGGGGGCGTCATTACTGTCGGAAGCGTAAAAATAATAAGGAAGCGTAAAAAAAAATAAGCGTAAAAATAAATTAAATATAAATTAAATTCTATTACTAAAACTATTACTATTCTAAATTAAATCTAATTAAAATTGGGATGGGAATAGGAACTATTAGGAGTAGGAGGATTGGGGGAGAGGATTGGGGAGAGGATTGGGGGGACGATTAATTAGCCCATCCCACCGGGCCCACAACTCCCTCATCTTGGGCCCGGGGACATAAGGCCTACCCACCCTGCCGCAACATTTCTTATATTTCATATGCATCGCGAAATTTGCGTTGGGCTTGGTTAAGGGGCACCACTGGCAATGGTACCCCTTCCCCTCTTCGAGGCACCCTTCAAAATGCTGCTTAAGGGCTTTGACGGTCTTAAACTCCCTGAAGCAGTAGGGACATTGCTTCTCTTTGCTCGTCCAAACGCCCCCTTGCCCGTCGAAGTGCCACGTCGGCATGTCGGCACCGCTGAGATTGAAATGAAGCTCCCGAGCAGCGGGCACTAGTAACATCAACGGGCGCGGGGGCGTCATTACTGTCGGAAGCGGTATCAGAAGTTTTATTTTTTGTTAGATTTTTTTGAGCTTTTTTTCATAGAAGATTATCTCCAGCTATTGAATTAGGAGCATCATGACCTCCTATGGGAATTATTTCATTTAATCCATTTCAAATTCCTTTATTAAATACAGCTATTTTATTAGCATCTGGAGTTACAGTAACATGAGCTCACCACAGATTAATAGAAAATAATCATTCTCAAACAACTCAAGGATTATTTTTTACAGTTTTATTAGGAGTTTATTTTACAATTTTACAAGCTTATGCATTCAAAAAGTATTGAATTTCAACTTTTAACAACTAATTGACCTACATTTAAAGGATAAAAAATTATACCGTAAGTTCTAATATAAGGCATAAATCATATAGAACCTAAAAATACAGAAATATTATAATTTAATAAAGACTTATTTAAAGAATAAATATTTGTAATTGAATATTGTAATCAATATTTTTTATTAACTGTAATAATAATATCAACTTTAGTAACATTATTTTTTTATTTACGAATTTGTTATTCAGCAACTTCAAATTGGTAAATATTATTATTTAACAATTCTTACTGGTTCCCAACTTCATCTGAAAAAGAACCACAAAAGAAAATACCCAAAATTTATACTTTGTTATAAATAAGAATTTTATAATAAAATTTAATAAATTAATAACTTTATTTTTTTTTTTTATTTTATAAAAAAATTTTTTTGGGAAAAAGGGGGGGGGGGGGGGGGGGGGGGGGGAAAATTTTTTTTTTTTGGGGCGCCCCCCTCCTCCCACAATTGTTTCATTTTGAGAGCCAAGGGCATTATTTTTGTGAATATTTTTTTTTTTTTTTTTTTTTTTTTTTTTTTTTTTTTTTTTTTTCCCCCCCTCCCTCTTTTTTTTTTTTTTTTTTTTTTTTTTTTTTTTTCTCCTTCCCTCCTTTTTTTTTTTTTTTTTTTTTTGGGGGTTTTTTTTTTTTTTTTTTTTTGGGGGCCCCCCCGCAGTGGTGCATCTTAGGATCTTTCAAACACCCTAGGAAGTGGCTATTAAGGGATCTAAAGCCCCTGAATAATTCAAAACAATATGGGCATTCTTTACCACTTGTCGTCCATATTTTCCCACTCGCATCTTTGTGCCAGGGCCCACCTGGTGGGATTTGTTAAGTTTAAATTGAGCTCCTGAGCGTAGCTCACGTCCATCACGAGCGGCGTCTTCGGCGCGTCCATCGGCCGCGGCGGCTCCACCGTCATGGGCGGCGTCTTCGGCGTGTCTACCGGCCGCGGCGGCTCCACCGTCATGGGCGGCGGCTCCACCACGTCGTCCTCCTCGTCAATTAATTCCTCCCAGGTCATGGGAGTCTTTGGCGTCTTCGGCTGGTTGGTGGTAACGATAGTAACATTCTAGAAAAAAACAAATTAATTGCAATAATTACAAAATAAACATTAAATACTTACGCAGTTCTTTATATTAAACATATTAAAATGAAAATTATATAAATAAAAATGAACTGAAAATGAAAATGATGCAAATTTTAGCAATTTGTAATTTTGATTGCAATGACGATAATTTTGATTGGTTCAGGTTCATGAACGAACGACATATCTTTGATTCTTTTAATGTTTAAAAGACTAATTAATTTGAAAAATTGTTAGTACTAATTTAATAACAATAATAATAACAATGTTAATAACATTTTAATTTTTCGTCTTTTTCGCACAGAAGGTGCAGAAAAAACGCGCGCGACTTTTTTGCACCTTCTGTGCGAAAAAGACGAAAAATCGTGCGAAAGAGATGAAAAAAATGCAACAGACAGTGTTGAAAAACGGTTTAAAAATCAAATCAAACAGGCAGTGTTGAAAAACGGTTAAAAATTTGATTTGATATAAATTTTTGGTTATTTTTATTGGCATTCTGGATCCTCTTTTCCCCACTAGAGGCGCTGCATCTGTTATCGAGGCAGCGGAGTTTCTATCGGCGTTTATCCACCTCTAAATAAAAACTTAAACTATATTATAAAAAAACGTCAATTTAGTGCAATTTATTGCAGTAAAAACCCCAAAATTATGTAGCCAATAAGACTGTAATAGCCCGACTTCAACTCGTCTGAATCGTCGAAAAAGAGTAGCCAGCGTGACAAAGGAAAACAAATCGCAACCAAAATGGTGAGTAATAGCCAAAAAATGACAAAACAACAAAAAAAGGTGTCGAAGATCAATATTCATTCTTCTCAATTAGGTGAGAAGAACCTCATCGATCTGATCGACCTGGCGCCGGACCAGACGGCCAGAATGCGGGATCTAGACCGCTGTGATACTCATCAAAATGGGAGATGGGAGCAAAATGATTCGTCGCTGCTGGGACTCCATTCACGTGGTGGAGGAGTATTCCGCTTATTTATTCCGTCATATTTATGCTGTTTGCCTTGCGTCTTCGTAGAACCGAGAATTGTACGCCTGTGAGTTGATTAGCAAGAACGCAGAATCGGCCAAAAGACCTTATACTTATACATATTCTTCCCGATTTAGGGCTGGCGTGATATCTGGATTGATACTGGATTTTGGCACATTCTTTTTTCTGTCTTGCTGCTTGTGATTATGATACTATGGCGACCCACAAATAACAATCAACGCTACGCCTTTACGCCTCTGCTGGACAACCCGGAGTATGAAGACGACGAGGGTAAGCTTATCCACAATTCTGGATCCACACTGAAGCATATTCTAAAAAGCCACCTTTCTTCAGGACGAGGAGGATCAGTTTGTGGCCGATGCCTATGGCGTGAAAATGCGTGGCCAGAATGGTACACCAAAGACCTCAACTGCCACGCGAAACACCACCACAACCGAGGAGGACGTCAATGGCGGATGCAGCTCTGCCTGTGCTGGAGTCGGATGAGGAAATCATCAACACCAAGTTTGAGGTTTCCAAAATGCAATAGGCTGTGACTTTCGCTGGACCCAAGAGACTTTATGCATATTGGTTGGACACTTTCCACTTCCTGAATAATCAAAAATGTTAATAACAAGGAAACAAATTTTGGAAAAATATTCTATTTATTTACAATTACTAAAAATAAATAAAATATAAATTAAATTGTATTACTAAAACAAATTTATTAAAAATATTATCCTATATATTTACAATTAATTACTAAAAATACTAAAAATAAATTAAATATAAATTAAATTCTATTATTAAAACTATTACTATTCTAAATTAAATCTAATTAAAATTGGGATGGGAATAGGAACTATTAGGAGTAGGAGGATTGGGAGGAGGATTGGGGAGAGGATTGGGGGGATTAATGGGGGGACGATTAATTAGCCCATCCCACCGGGCCCACAACTCCCTCATCCTGGGGCCGGGCACGTACATAAGGGACACCCACCCTGCCTTTGCACTTAAATTTTAAATGCATTGTGAAGTTCGATTTGTCTTTCGTATATGGGCACCACGGGCAGTGGAACCCCATCCCCTCTTGGAGGCACCGCTCAAAATGTGTGTTTAATGCCCTGACGCTCCTGAAGTTCCCGTAACAATAGGGGCATTGTTTCTCCAAAGTTGTCCAGATGCCCCCGAGCCCGTCGATGTCATCCCTTGCGGGGGCCGAGGCCGGGGCGCCATCCGTTGCTGTGGCCGGGGCCGGGGGTGGGGCGCCATCCGTTGCTGTGGCCGGGGCCGGGGGCGGGGCGCCATCCCTTGCGGGGGCCGAGGCCGGGGCCGGGGCCGGGGCGCCATCCCTTGCGGGGGTGGGGGCACTGCCTCATTGTAAAAATTCATATTCTGCAAAAAAAGATTGTTAAATTATTTAATAAACTAATAATAATACTAATAAACTAATACATTATTTAATAACTAATAATAATACTAATAAACTAATACTTACACCATAATTATAAAATCGAAACATATCTGGTTTTTTTGTGCTTTAAAAAAAAAAAAAAATTTACGAGAAAAAGTGCTGTCTGTAAATGTCAAAGGCACAAAAGTTTTTTTTTAACGATATGTTATCTATTGATTTCAATTTACATCGATACATGGATACTCGCAATCGATGATTCGATACTTGCAATTTTGATTTTCTTTTCATTTGGTTAATACTAATTTTATGAAAATTCAAATGATTAATCTTAAATATAAGCAAGTAAATACATACACTTAAATATTCTTGTTATAAACATTGATTTTCTGGCAAAAAACTAAAAAAAAACAGTTAAATTACTTACTAAAATACTTATGAAATACTTACACTAAACTTTATTATTTTAATCATGTTGATTTTTTAATTCACTTTTCAATTTAATTCACTTTTTAATTTTATATAATTTAATTACTTACTCAATACTCGATACGATACTTGCAATCGATACTTGCGATACTTTTTGACGTATTCAATTTGTTTTTTATTTTGTATTACAAAATTAAAATGAATTATATAAGAAATTTATCGCTAAACTTTGAATTAAAACAAAGTTTCGAACAGTGGATGGAAAGGAGGGAAGGCACTCTTCGTCAAGGATTCACCATGATGGAGAGCAATCTCCAATTTCTCATGGTGGACGAGCCCTTCTTTCTCATATTCGACGAATTTCACTTGAAGAGCGTAAATGTAAGTATATAATAATATTTTATTTATTTATATTTTATTATATTATATATTTTATACATTTCTTCAGAGGGCTCCAGCGCCCTTAAAAAATTGGAAGATATTGGCCATCGCCGCTTCCAATTTTGAGGGCCACTTACAAATAATCTATTTACGAACGGTAAGAAGTAAACAACATTCATTATGTTTATATACTAATTAAATTATTTTTTATAGGCATCAAGTGGTTTGGAAAAGTTGGGTTCCGCTGCGATTTTGCAGGGGATCCAACTGGCCCTTGGCAGTATAAGGAGGAATCCCGAGCTGTCCTCCAAATTGGTCGGCGCTGTGGCCGACAAGTGCGCCGCCAATTTGGAGGCCATTCGCTTCTTACAGCAGAATGGGGTTCCTGTCTTATACGACTTGCAGCATTTTTGTGGTACCATGGCTCGGATGGACCACATCGACCTGTTTGTCACCAACCTGTATGCGGTCGCCAAATTTTCCAGGAGCAATTTTGCACAAATCCTGGGGAATTTTAAAAGGCTGGTTGAGGAGAATGTTCCCCCAGCCTTACATGACCGGTACAACCAGGAGGTAAGTTTATCAAAATTAATTTATATGTGTAATTTTTATAATTTTTTTCATTACTTCCAGCGTCTTGCATTGGAGGCCCTTTTTAAGAATTTGTTCACCAAATTCCCAACGAGGACCTTCAGTATAGGACGGGTGAACTCCAACCACCTGGAGAGGGTGGGTGCCAGGCTGGCCGAAAAAGTGCACCAACGTGCCGAGGAGGGTTTTGATAGACATCAAGCCCTTGCCAATGGTAATGAGGCAGTTGTCTTTATGGCCACATTTATGGTCGAGAAAAAACAAAACATCGAAAAAAACAATTTTAGACAAAATATAACTGATAAATGTTAAGACTCATCCCCAATTGGACTCATTGGAAATTTATTAATTATAAATTAATTATATTTAAATTGTAAAACTATTTAATTTCTTAATTTAATTCTTATTTTTTCCCAACTTCATCTGAAAAAGAACCACAAAAGAAAATACCCAAAATTTATACTTTGTTATAAATAAGAATTTTATAATAAAATTTAATAAATTAATAACTTTATTTTTACGTTTTCATGTTAGCACCAAATTGTTCTTGGGAAAAATTGGAATGTGTGGGGGATGATGGGCTGGAAATTGCTGCATTTTGCAGCGCGTCCCCTCCTCCCACAATTGTTTCATTTTGGAGCCCGGGGCATACTTTTCCCCAATCACACCCTTGCAATTATATTTTACATGCTGGGAGAATCTTGTTGTTTTTTTACTGTGAGGGCACCACTCGCAGTGGTGCACCTTAGGATCTTTCAAACACCCGAGGAAGTGGCTATTAAGGTGAGGGACGAGATTCTTAGAAGCAGCAGCAGAAATGTATATGCAGAGGCTGCAAAACACCCGAACTAGTTGGCCATATCTCTTCTAGACCACAGAGGGCAGGCGAGAAGGCTGTGCAGAACACACCCGCAGGATCTACCATGGATCTTATTCCATTCCACTCTAACATTAATCAAACTAAGCCGAGTATATTGTGAAACAATTTAATGGTTGGCCAGTATGGACAGTTTTAAAAAAAAAATTAACCCTGTTATTATAGAAACATTTTTAAGAACACTTAATTCTGATATTTTAGAGAAAATGAAATATAGGGGTAAATAATTCATCTAAGCAATCTAAATTTCCTGATGGTTTAGAAACCATCAAAAAAAAATTACTAAAACTAAATTAAATTCTATTCTAATTCTAACCTAGTTGTAGTTGGGCTGGGAAAAGGGGGGAGGATTGGGGGGGGGATTGGTGGGGGGATTGGTGGGGGACGATTGATTTGCCCATCCCACCGGGCCCACAACTCCCTCATCCTGGTGCCGGGCACGTAAGGGACACCCACCCTGCCTTTGCACTTAAATTTTAAATGCATGGTGAAGTTCGATTTGTCTTTCGTATATGGGCACCACGGGCAGTGGAACCCCATCCCCTCTTGGAGGCACCGCTCAAAATGTGTGTTTAATGCCCTGACGCTCCTGAAGTTCCCGTAACAATAGGGGCATTGTTTCTCCAAAGTTGTCCAGATGCCCCCGAGCCCGTCGATGTCATCCCTTGCGGGGGCCGAGGCCGGGGCGCCATCCGTTGCTGTGGCCGGGGCCGGGGGCGGGGCGCCATCCGTTGCTGTGGCCGGGGCCGGGGGCGGGGCGCCATCCCTTGCGGGGGCCGAGGCCGGGGCGCCATCCCTTGCGGGGGTGGGGGGCACTGCCTCATTGTAAAAATTCATATTCTGCAAAAAAGATTGTTAAATTATTTAATAAACTAATAATAATACTAATAAACTAATACATTATTTAATAACTAATAATAATACTAATAAACTAATACTTACACCATAATTATAAAATCGAAACATATCTGGTTTTTTTGTGCTTTAAAAAAAAAAAATTTTACGAGAAAAAGTGCTCTGTCTGTAAATGTCAAAGGCACAAAAGTTTTTTTTTAACGATATGTTATCTATTGATTTCAATTTACATCGATACATCGATACTCGCAATCGATGATTCGATACTTGCAATTTTGATTTTCTTTTCATTTGGTTAATACTAATTTTATGAAAATTCAAATGATTAATCTTAAATATAAGCAAGTAAATACATACACTTAAATATTCTTGTTATAAACATTGATTTTCTGGCAAAAACTAAAAAAAAACAGTTAAATTACTTACTAAAATACTTATAAAATACTTACACTAAACTTTATTATTTTAATCATGTTGATTTTTTAATTCACTTTTCAATTTAATTCACTTTTTAATTTTATATAATTTAATTACTTACTCAATACTCGATACGATACTTGCAATCGATACTTGCGATACTTTTTGACGTATTCAATTTGTTTTTTATTTTGTATTACAAAATTAAAATGAATTATATAAGAAATTTATCGCTAAACTTTGAATTAAAACAAAGTTTCGAACAGTGGATGGAAAGGAGGGAAGGCACTCTTCGTCAAGGATTCACCATGATGGAGAGCAATCTCCAATTTCTCATGGTGGACGAGCCCTTCTTTCTCATATTCGACGAATTTCACTTGAAGAGCGTAAATGTAAGTATATAATAATATTTTATTTATTTATATTTTATTATATTATATATTTTATACATTTCTTCAGAGGGCTCCAGCGCCCTTAAAAATTGGAAGATATTGGCCATCGCCGCTTCCAATTTTGAGGGCCACTTACAAATAATCTATTTACCAACGGTAAGAAGTAAACAACATTCATTATGTTTATATACTAATTAAATTATTTTTATAGGCATCAAGTGGTTTGGAAAAGCTGGGTTCCGCTGCGATTTTGCAGGGGATCCAACTGGCCCTTGGCAGT